CTTTCATTCTCTCGCCTCTATCTCTCCTTCTCACGTCTTTCTCCTATTCTCCCGAATCTCTTTCTCCTCTCTCTCTCTCACTCCCGCCATTCTCTTCTTCTCTCGCCCGAAGCTAAACTTTAACACTTATTAAAGACTACATAATTACGACTAATTAGGAAAGTCTTTACAAAATATATTAGATATTCACATGTGATTTGGCTCACCGCCAGACGACGCACTGCACACGCCAGACGACGGGTCAAATTGTTCAGATAGTGTCACTGCTCTTACCCATATAGCAGGAACAGAGAGAAAACTTAATTGGAACTTATATACGCCCAGTTGCCCGGCCATAGTGGATTATGTTCGATGACCCACACAAGAGCAAAAAGTGCATCAACATTAGGACAAAATCTCACTCATTTCTTTGAGTGATTAAACAGAAGTGAAGAGAGTTCAGGTCGCGGCTGCGAAGCTCCAATTCTTGCTTCATTGCGTAGCGCCGCTTAATTGTGAGAACAAGAGTCGGTGCGCACTCAAAAAGATGTATGTGTCATATTGTGCAAATTATGATACAAAAACTGTCGTCAAAACTGTCGTGTATGATGCGTGGTTTTTTTTTAATATTTCAAAAGCTTCTTCTGTGGCGTAGTAATAAAGCATTCATAGGCATATAGCACCTGTACCAGGATCATGCAATTAAGCTGTGCTAAACATAACTCTGATAAACTATTAATTAAATTAATATGCTAAAATTACCTAAAATAAATGTGAACGGTTCCATTAATAACTAATATACTGAAAATAACGACGAAATAACTACACTGTAGTGCATGTAATCAATTCAAATTACAAAATGTGCCATTTACTGTTATCATGAACGTTTAATATGATATAAATAAAAATTGAATGATATATTTGCATTATGACGAGCAATAAACGGCACCTTCTGGCAGCAGCAACAGAGTGCCAGCAACAGAGTGCCAGCAACAGAGTGCCAGCAACAGAGTGCCAGCAACAGAGTGCCAGCAACAGAGTGCCAGCAACAGAGTGCTAGCAACAGAGTGCCAGCAACAGAGTGCCAGCAACAGAGTGCCAGCAACAGAGTGCCAGCAACATGCAGTACCGAGCCGCGGAAGTTCACCGTCCAGCGCTGCTATATATATATATATAGGTCGTATACATATTATCAAAAATAGTTTCGATTTCGTAACTTCGTCAACAAATCACTGGATAATCACTGGACATTTCAGGATAAACTAAAAAATTGTAGACGAGTAATCGGTTACGTGTACTTATAAAAACGCTACGTTTCCTAATTAGAACGCTATATACGTTTGCTAATTTAGAACGCTACGTGTACTTATTAGACCGCTACATTTAATTGCTTAATTAGACCGCTTAATTTTGATTTTGCGGCCAATTGACGCTCACTATATAGCTGCAGGAATGCCTAATATTTGTGCTACTCGAAAATGGGGCTTCATATAGTTTAGTCCGAATCCACGAATCTGAGTTTATTTTTCAACGTTAAGTGATAACGAGGTTTATAGTAAATTTTACGGGCTATGCCATTAATTCTACTTCAATATTAAATTTCGACTTAATGTAAAATTCGAATCTCAAATACCAATTGCCTTGTGTTTTCGAGCTATTATAATAATATTTAGTACCTATTCATTTTATGGAATTACAATAAATAATTGTTAAGGTTTTTTCATTTATTAATAATTTTGGTTTACTATCTTGAGAGAAAGCCCCGTAAATTACGGAGATGCGGTGGAAATGATCGAGAATATGTCACAATTTTTTTATTTTATACAGAAACAAATGTGCGTAATATATGTGAGGCGATTCAACGAAGAAAAATCCTTAATTGAGCTTTCAATCAAAATTTTAGACGCTGTCAAATTGATGAAAATTTAAGCAGAAAATTAGTGATGCGAAAAGTGAGATTTCGCTGGTACACGTACAGAAATGATATTCTTTATAGCATAATTAAAAACCTCATTTAAAATTATTTAGCGTGAAAAATTTAATTCTTACAACGTCGGATTACGATAAAAATGTTTTACAAGTTTTAGACGAGATGGCGCTTAATCATCATTAAAATAGTATCAATAATGAGTTACATCCGCAATTATATAAAAAACAATAATATAATTGCGATTCAACAAACAATTTCTTATATATAATCTCTATACACAAGATGAACAATAAAAATATGATATATAATAAATTAGGAGGCTTTTTTTCTCTTTGATTTTTTTAGACGTAATGCAACAGAGATAAGACGCCAGATATGTAACATCAACGTGAAAACTTGTTGAAAACTATATACATATAATTTAATTTGTATTGCCAAGAATACTGCGATAATATATGTTGTTAAATATTTCATTCTTGTTTGAACATGAAAAAATTGCCGCATGCATGCTATAAACATTTTTCATGAATTTTAGAAAATTGTTAATTAAACGTCCGCCACTATATATATATGATATCGAAGCTATATAAAAGCCATTTTATGTTAAAAAATGTAAATGAGACGATAACGGTATATATACCATTGAGGTCAAACTTTTGAATGTGAAACTTTATTGTGCCAAAACTGTCAACTTCTCAAATACATCACAATATAATATAATACATCACGCATCTCATACACATCAAATCTCAAGTACATCACATCTCAAATATATTGCTCATATACAACAATATTGATTAATGTTACTAACATTGAAACATGAAATTGGGTTCGTTAACAGGCATATATATTAAGATTTTACGGAAAAATGATTTAACAAGAAATCGACTCTGTATTCCAAGCCAGACATTTTTCAGGAAGTTGAGAGTTAAGTTTACGAGACTTTATAAACGACTGTTTACCTAATATAGAATACCACGTATACATGTATATGTTTAAGTTTGACGTTTTATACATATATAATGAAAATATCCTACAACAAATCAAAAGTATTTCCTCGGAAAAAACAGATTGGTCCCGATTAGCAAATATTTAAATATGAATTTGGTTAAATCTTTCTCGTCACTTTATGTCAATTCCACAAAAGTGTTAAAAATATTTGACAAGTGTGATACTGGGAGCAGATAAGGAACGCTAAATATCGCTCGTTTACGATGGTCTACAGATAACAGGCATATCCGTCAATCATGAGAGCATGCAAGATAACTCTTATCAGCTGCACAGATTTTCTTATCTGAATGTTGGTGTGCGAGGTCATGATAAGCGGAAGACGTTGAGAAAAGTTTAATCAACTAAATTAATATTAAGACAAAGGCAAAGGTCCACATTTAGTGAGTTTACTTAAAATTTTGCATATGGTGTGTCTAGCGCATGACGTAATTATATTGCTGTATAAAAATATTAAAAAGCAACCGAAAATGGGTAACAGCAAATGATTTCATTTCCCCCGCCTTCTTTTTAATCAGGAATGTCTTCGATTTTATTCAACACAATTTTCCTGTATAACTAATTAAATAATTTCCCAAACCGTATACGAAAAACATCGGAACCATATATATATATAGCGTGGTGAACTCTCTCTTAATTTATGTGCTATTGATTATCCGGAAAAAAAACTGCTCTCCATTGAACTTTAATAATGGGGAATGGGGCGATAATGATTGCGGAAAACAAATGAAGAACCTAATTGTCAAACCATACTCCATGTGTTTGTTCTAAACATTTAATCGATTAGAAGTGGTTCAAGAATTTGCGCATGCATATAAAGTATATATACGTATATATAGTGTGCTGATATTTTTGTTCAGACACGCCAATATTTAATTTAAAACATAATTTATTAGATTTTCTTCTAAACTGATTCTTACAACTTCTGTGAATTTGGTGTTCGATATCAGGTACCTCTTTCATGAATGTTAGATTGAGCGTAAAATTATCAAAATTGAAGATCAAAAGACCTCAAAATATGACAACAGGACCCTCTAAGATATTAAGATTCAGTATCACAATAACAATCATTATAACTGCAGACGATACGATCAACGGTAACTGTATCGTTGTATCGACGATCGATATATTACAATACATAATATGACGTGCAATATGCTTTCGATACAATACGTTGAACGCTCACTATCTGTACATCGATCAATGTCCCGCCATGCATGGCAGAGATCGATGCATATGGGCAGAGTGAGCGAATGATGAGCGACGACCGTTTATAATTGGCGTGAATAAATTGAAGCTTGATTTTAGTGTAGCAAAAATTTTTAGTGTGGTAAAATTTATATTTAAATTGTATCGTTCAAATTAAGCTCATAAATAAAACGAAATAATGCTTATATATTATATACATAAACGGATGATCGTTGCTATTTAGCAATTGAGCGCTAATGTTCCCAAATCGATTCCCATTTCGGACTGAATAAAGATCAAACTGCATGAGGATGAATATGCCAAAGAAGTACAAATGTTAATGGAATTTCCAGTAATAATTGGCCCGAAATGTTTTTCATATGCAGCAACGGTACTGTTAGTCTTTAACGTTCTTATATTTATTCTTGACAATTATTAATAGATTCATACTGCGTAAAAACTATCGTGCGCTTCAAGTGTTCATTTGAAATTTGCTTAAATCGTTGAAATGCTGTTGATCGGGAGTTTAATAAAAATGATGTTACCGCCTGCACCTGAAAATTTATTCTCAATGGGGGAGTGCAATGCAAACTGGGAGGAGAATACTGCACAAAAAAATTTAAATCTGATTTTTTTTTAAATTTGTGTATACGTTTACTTTAAAACAAGCAAAAGTTTGTTATTCATATTCTGAACTGAGAGGCTATTGGGAGTAAAACATTCTACCTAAAATGTGGATTTGAACGAGTCTTTCTTCGATTAACATACATTAACTTTATTACCTCTGGGATTCGAGATGAAAGTAATCGAAAATTTCAGGGAATATATAACGCGTTAGCGTGTATAACGTTGGGCTAACCCGCTAATGTTAAATAAAAAGTAATTGATTACTCACCCCGGGAAGGTGAAGGTGCTTGTACAGACTCGTGCTGTCTTGAGGTGCCCGTGAGGACCGTGAGGCGCCCCGTGGGCACTGACGGCACCCCTTGACCTGTCATGACGCCTTCTGTCTCCCTGGGGGACGGTAACCCCGCCCCGGGGTGATGGGTGCTGTCGGCGGGGTTAGATAGGGATGCGAGGCTGGAGCTCTGGGTGTTGAGGAGGTTGTGGTGGTGGTGGGGGTGACTGTTCGGGACCAAGTCATAAAGTGACTCGGATAAGCCCCCTCCTAAATGCTCCAGTTTTATGGGGGCTAGGGTGGTGGAGTTCACCCCCAGTTGGCTGCTGTGCACACTTGTCATCGAATCCATGATGAGCACCCAACTCAGTGTGTACAAGTCAGGTCAATAAAATTTCCAGCAAGCCACTCTAGTTAGTGTCCCACAATACCACGTCACTCGTATCGATCACGATCGTCTTCTTTTCTCAAATAATGTTTTTTAGTCTGTTGCCAAGCATTTTCGAGTTCACGTTTTTTTCACTTCCAAAAAATATCTATCACTCTTTCGTTATATTTTACGCGACTATGGACGCCACTTCCACCCGAATAAAATGTATATAACCCGCTAAGTAAATCAACGATTGATTAACACTAGATTCAGCAGAACCATGAAAGAAAAGCTCCCAAAGATCAAACTGGAATACACCGGAATCCACTCAACAGCAAGCGTTACGCTGCAAGTCAAACACACAACGTTAAAAGGTGTAAATATTCGGCAGTTTAAGAATGTTTACAGCGCAAATATCGATGAATTAACGGGCGTTAAACAGGAACAAAGAGAGACGCTGTTTGGAGCAGCACTGGCACTGGACGCGACTGTGAGTGCGGAGGCGGTAGTGTGAGCAGTGAGGCCGAGTCTTGTGGCGCGCCTGGGGCGGCCGCTGGGCGGCGCCTAAAGCTACTCTTAACAGCCAATAACGACGTCTGGGCGGCGCGCGGCTATTAAATGGTAAATGCGGAAATTATGTTCCCCGTTTACTGTGACATTTCCATTTATAACGAGAGTGAAGCTTCCAAGATTAAACGAGGTCAATTATGAATTTTAACTACTGCAATTTAGAAGAGAGGTGTGGCTTCCAAAGAGAACATTAACAGAAAAGTTAGTAAAACACCTCGGCTCGGAGTATTATCAGCCGACGCTAGCTCTGTTCGCCTTCTAAATTTGAAACTAATGGAGCATGGCCAGCAGCACTCGCTTACTTACAACAATGAAGTCCTTTATGTAGTTTTTATGATAGCACTGCTCGATTCAACGACAAGTACTTCATGGTAGCTCGCATGCCGAGCTATTCATCTAGGTATTTTACCTGCAGTGTGCAATAAACTGCAGCATGAGGAATATTGTTCTGTGTCAAACTCTCTTAGTTTTCATCACAATTACTATGAAGTTTTAAATCCATTAATGTACAAAATTTATTTTCAACCAAAAATGACTATTTTTGCATGTATTAATTGATAACTTTAATTTAAATTTCATCAAAATTTTCAAGCATAATGGGATGTTCGAATATTTTCATTCACAAATTTTATAAATCTTCTATTAAGTTTTTAACAATTTCTGGATTAAGATGTGGATCTCGAGCTAGGAGGTCAATGACAATTCATCATTGACAATATCAATGTATAAATATTGACCCTCAGTTTATGTTTCCATTATCAGGATAAAACTGCATGAAGATGCATGATTCCCTCTAACACATGAATATTCTTCTCTGAATAATTTAGGGATACCTGTTATAGATGCATGCACCACTGCATGACAGCAGTAAATATGGTATGAACAACACAGCTGTATATATGGTGTACCAACACAACACATAGCAGCTGTATGGTGTACCAGCACAACACAGCTGTATGGTGCACCAGCACAACACAGCTGTATGGTGCACCAGCACAACACAGCTGTATGGTGCACCAGCACAACACAACTGTATGGTGCACCAGCAGAATTGACACAGCTGTATGGTGCACCAGCACAACACAGCTGTATGGTGCACCAGCAGAATTAACACAGCTGTATGATGCTCCAGCACAACACAACTGCATGGTGCACCAGCACAACACAGCTGTATGGTGCACCAGCACAACACAGCTGTATGGTGCACCAGCACAACACAGCTGTATGGTGCACCAGCCTGTACCACACAGCTGTATATGGTGCACCAGTATAACACAGCTGTATGATGCACAAGTACAACAATTGCTGTATGCCATGGTGCACCAGTACCACACAGTTGTATGGTGCACTATAAGATTTCTTCCTTACATAATGTGTATTGTATTCCGTCTTATAGTTTTTCAATTTTCTAGCGGAGTATTTTCTATATACACAAATTAACACCGAACATTCTTCCGAAGTTCATTGCTTACATTGTAATTAAAATTTACAAGATCCTTAAGTAACCATTATTACTCACGGTGAAATGATCATTATTCCTCACGGTCAAGTATAACCATTATTCCTCAGGATGAAATAACCATTATTACTCACGATGAAATTACCATTATTTCTCAGGGTTAAGTACCATTATTCCTCACGATGATTTCCCTTACAGGATCGGAACAGGAGCTTGGATTCAGACTCAATTATGATTGGCAGGAGATTGGTCAGACGATCCACTCGACGTCGCAGATCAAATATGAATCACCAACTGTAATCCTAATGCACGCACGAGCTTTAATCTTACAATTCAACAGTTCAATCTTACAATTCAACTCGTATAACATCCCACGAACAGTATAAAAATCCCGAGACTCTGATGAATATCACATAACCATGCATGCATGATAATACATTCGTGTTATGATTAAACGTTGGTCAATTCATGCACTTATTAATGAAATCATCGATGATCAACGACCAATGAAATAAAGATGTGCACTCGATATCCGTATAAAGGTAAGATTAACTAATTTCAATAATATATCCTCATAGTACGGACATATTAACTTACAGGTTTTTATATTTATGGTGGCAGCTACAGAAGCACATGTGCTAGAGCTGTAAATCTTGGTGGTTTTCCTCAGTACTACAGTAGTCGTGGCTCAGTTCATAATCGACCTACGTGAATCTGCAAATTTTGGAGAACTACTTAACCAGATCAGCCGCTATACTTTATCTTAATTTTTTTTTCTCTCTTCTTCTTCTTGCCACACATTTCCTACTACACACAGCAAAGGGAAGTTGGAGCAGAGATAAAAATCAAGCCATTTGAGCAACGATCCTCTACGGCATTGCAATGCACCTGATACTGTTTTGAAATTACTTTTCAGCATTCAAGAGGAAAGCAAAGTCTGTTGATGTGATGGAAATATCTTGACTAATAACATGCGCGTGTCTCAAAAATTATAGATTTGGTTGGCATTTGAGCTCCGAACATTGAAGCAACTCATTCCAAAGGCAGCGACTTTGGCTCAGAATTTGCTCTTATGACTCCGTAACCAAGTTGAATATCATATCTCATTATCATTTGTTGGCAAGCAGCTGAAGCTAGGATATATAATGTGCTTAATTATACACGAGGCGATTAGGGGGAGCGTCTGGGTCCCAGAAAAGCTTTTTTATTTATCGACTGATCACTTTGAAACTTGGTACACATGTGTAAAACAGAAATCCAAAACTTTTTTCTTGGTGTCAATTTTTGAAAAAATGAAAGAAAACGTGAAAATCTTAGAAAACGGCCAAAAACGGGGTACCGTAGAAAACCATCTCCTCCTAGGATTTTCAAGCTACAACACCGAGACGCACATCATTCAATGCGTAAAAACAATATCTATCGATTGCTCATTATTTTTCTCGAAATTCTAATTTTTGTGGGTGGGGGAGCATATTTCGTAAATTTTTTGAAAATTTCTCGATTTTCACCCCCCCCCTCCTTTTTCTGAATATAATCCAAATTATAACGAAAGTCCAAAAAGTGTATGACCAATCTCTAGATCTTTTATTTACAAATCGAAATGTATATCTCTCATCGCTGTAGCTTCAAAGCTGTAGGTGGACTGTAGGTCCACCTACAGCTAGGTGTAGGTGTAACAATAAGTGTGACTGTTCAGTAGAGTGCCTGCTCTATTCCCTGCCCTAAATTTTAACTGGGTATGGTATACCAAAACAACACAGCTGTATATATGGTGCACCAGCACAACACAGCGGTATGGTGCACCGCAGCACAACACAGCTGTATGGTGCACCGCAGCACAACGTATACAGCTGTATATGGTGAACCAGCGCAACACAGCTGTATGGTGCACAAGCACAACACAGCTGTGGAACGTTTCCCCCGAACGTTGTGGAACCCCGATCGAGTGGAACGTTTCCTTGATAAAATATTTTCATACTGTCATACCGTGGTAGAAATCTAAGACTTTTATACATCATACTTAAGACTACTCTCGCCGAGGTAGAAATCTGAGCATTTTCTAAAATCTAAAGTACCTTAAACTGCTCAAACGTTTCCGACTAACGTTCAGGGGAATTATCATTAAGACTGAAATAAGTTCAGCCTTCTGATGCCGCTCAGTTTTGCAGAGCACGTCATGTGAAGATGGACTCAATATAACAATTTAAGCAAGAAGTTTGAACTGCAGCTGCTGGCAAAGAGGGCGCGATACACGTCAAGTACAAGAATCTGCTACAGGCCTAAACAGGCTAATTTTTCAACGCCAAAGATGCTTGCTATGCTATATGACAGGGAAGGGAAAGACGAAATTATGTGGGTGATGCGGTCAGTGAGGGTGGAAAGCGATATTTAGAGAGCTTGTGTGATGGGGAAGGATATGTTGGTAATAAGGGATGCTGGGAGGCTTAAAAAAAATGAGCAATAGTAAAATATCAATGATAGTACCAAGGAAGTATACAAAGCTATAAATAATTATTTATGATCAAGAGCTCCCAATATTTAATAATTATATCCAAAAAGTGTTATTCATAATGGGATTCAATTAAGTGAAAAAAAGTTGTTTCAATGTTTAAGCGCCTTCTTTACTCGTCTTTCTAATTTTTTTTCACGTTTTCGTCGATATTCTCTTGCCAACTTCACTTCAGTCAGAAGACACAGAAAACGAAACAGGGCTCATGAATAATTTTGTCTCTCATGGTGAGTTTTCGAACAGAAAATGGTAATTATTTATAGGCATACTATATATAAATGAGAAAGGCAGGATTTTGAGAACTTAGGCATGTGTCATGTGGTGTTATTGAAGTTATCTAGCGGGGCGATTTCTGAATTTAAATCCCAAAAACTCGTATAAAATGATTTGAAATTCATAACTAAATTGATCAACTAAATTGACAATTTTCAGAAAAACTATGCAAAAATTAATGATCAGTTATGAATTTCAGAAATCTTATAACATAACATATTTATCTCGGCGCTGAAGTGTAGGCCTGATGTGGCCTGACGCCGATTCTTTTCCTTTTCGTGCCAATGTTCACAGAAGATCTAATATCGTGTCATTTGCCCGTATTTTTTCATGACTGACGATTGTTTCAAGTCGCTACTAGACTTCCACCGGGTTCGATATGGTCCTAGGCATTTCAAATCTGAACATATATTTTTCCATAGCTTTATCTAGTCTGTTCTTGAACGCGTTCATACTTAGAGAGCCAACGATGTCATCGGGGAGGCTGTTCCACATGTCGGTGATTCGAAGAGAGAAGAAATTTTGTCGCGTGGAGAAGTTGCAGCCTTGAAAATTGTAAAAAAAAGTTTCCCAATTTATAACAGCACGTAAACGTTATTCATTATACGTCACGTCATATATAATGACAGCACGTGAACTAATAAAAATGACATGTGGTTGTTCGATTTAATTTGGATGCGTAAACTTCGTTGAGGTCATCATATTGACCAATCAATGGTAGTGTCGATTTCCCGAAGGCAGAAAGTCGGAACTTCCTAGATAATTAAGTACACTAAGGTTAGGGAGAGGCTAATATACGACAGAAGGTGTGAGACAAGTTTATTGGTCTAGTGCTGGAGACGAACTAACAAAGAGCAAAACTGCTATTACAAAGTTAACACCAGAATGAACTGTTTCTTAGGTGGTTTGATTCAAGAAGTCAGGCGGGATGTTGCTACAGTAGAATACAACAAATTTGCTGGTACTCAACGCCCGGTAACGGCTTTGTGGGAATGAAGGTCGAATTTTCGTCCATGGATTACACGCTAAATTGCAAGGGATTCGGTAGTTACTTTATGGATTCCAACTATACGTAGGAATGAATATGTCTATTATTTCAGAAACTTTTCATTAATACGCTTGTCAAAATATACTTATGTAGTCAATGGAGTGAGTCTTGGAAATGGCAACATAGTTGAATTTCAAATATTTAGCTATAAGAGTGGGATCATTAAGGTGATACCTAAGACTGACGTAAGAAAAAAATTTGCTACATTATTTGAAAGTCAGAAAATATATGAAACCATCATCAGAAATTATGCAAATTTTAATTAACTCAAACTGAATATATCAATAACAATATTTAACATGATCATTTTAGATTTAGTTCATTATGACTGCAAACAAAGATATCGCCATATGTGGCTTCTCTATAATCGGCTCCTCTCACTTAGTTATTAATTATTTCAATCAATATTTTTGATTAAATTTACATGTAATTTTTTCAGTATAAAACACTTGTCAACAGCGTACTGATATGCACTGATATTTCTCCGAACTCGCCTGCGAACTCAAAAGCAAAATCTAACTACACGCTCATTTAATAACCAGTTATTAGTCTTTCAATACTGAACGAATTTGCTTGAAATTTGGAATAGAAATAGATATTAGCAATACGCTGCGATAGGAATTATTACGTATTTTTAAATGATTTCTTTTTGAATTATAACGAAAAAATGTTATGTTTCGGCAACCGAACCATCAAAATGTCGAATAACTACTCATATTCCAAATTTCGAGCTGATCCGTTCTGTATTGAAGGACTTTTGACGGGTTAGGTTACTTTAAAATTGCCTTTGTTTCGTTTTGATTGAAAAACAAGTAATGTAAAAATCTTTAAAAATTTCTATCGCAGCAAGTTAATAATATCTATTTATATTCCAAAATTCAAGTAAATCCATTCAGTATTGAAGGACTTAAGATTGGTTAAGTTGAGCGAGTAATACTATATTGTTACGAGTAATACTATATTGTTCGAGGAATACGAGCAACTATATTGTTGGAAAATTCATTTTCAAGTAATAAAAACACTAGTAAAATACAAAGCATTTAGATTATCTTATATAAAAAATTACAAATAGTGGCATATACACTTTGCAACGTCGTAGTATGAATCTTAATACCATGGCCAATCTTATAAAATAAACTTACTCGTGATTGACTTCCATTTTCATTATCTGATCTGGCATTTCGGTCTGAAAGTCCACCAGACACTTGCACATGCGCAGCTCCATTTCTGACTTGAAATCCATGACTGACTTGAAATGTTTTACGCCAATGGCTCAAAGATCCAGATTTTTTTCAATAATTCTGTTTTATTTGTACATTTCTAGTTATTAAGAATTCCATTGGCTGAACATTTTTATAAAATGAGTAAATTTGAATGCTATGGTCAACGATGAATTTGTTCAATCAAAACTTATGCTGTTATAAAATTTGTAGTTTTGACGTAGAACTTGTTTTGTTTGCCTCTGCAAGCGAGGGCTGGAACTGATCATAGGATATAGCGGCACTATAAGACGCGCGGAAAACTGACTGCTGAGTAATATAGTTTAAATTTTTGCACTGAATTATTTGGCGTGCTTTCTTATCCACATCTTCCTGTACTTGCGGTGAATGAAGCCATTAATCTAAGCATGCCGAATGACTGAAAAAAAATCAGAAAGTTTGGATTAGTGAGTAACGGGTTCGACGAACAGATGTCTGAGAAAATTTAGCAATATCTATAATGTGCGAGAGGTCAGCCATCGTCCAGTTTTCAGGGCAGACTATTGATATTTTATTATACTGGTGTTGTTGGATAAAACCACGCATCGAGTGCAACGATTAAGCGATTTTCACATAAGTATGCTACGAGTTTAATGCAAAATTGTATAGCTACCAGTCGTGAATGTATGCATTGATAATTTAATGCCGTTCAATATTATTCCGGGGTATTTCGTCAAAACGAAATGTTCATTTCATGTTCAATGATTCATCTCATAGTCAACTAAGAAACGTAATATTTAAAAATTGTATATGAAAATGCATCCCACACTTATTTTCATCCAAGATCAGCTCTCGTAAGAATTTTTCCGGTGAGAATCTTGCAAGTGTTAGAAATCGCGATAAATATTGCGTTGAATGCACGTATCGAAACATAATACAACAGAATATTTAAACGAAATTATTGCTTAGTATTTGTAACGAAAATTGCCAAGTAGCCGCTCCAGTGGCCGAGTGTACCTACCAGACACGTGAGCTCCAGTGGCCGAGTGTACCTACCAGACACGTGAGCTCCAGTGGCCGAGTGTACTTACTAGACACGTGAGCTCCAGTGGCCGAGTGTACCTACCAGACACGTGAGCTCCAGTGGCCGAGTGTACCTACCAGACACGTGAGCTCCAGTGGCCGAGTGTAGTTACCAGACACGTGAGCTCCAGTGGCCGAGTGTACCTACCAGACACGTGAGCTCCAGTGGCCGAGTGTAGTTACCAGACACGTGAGCTCCAGTGGCCGAGTGAACTTACTAGACACGTGAGCTCCAGTGGCCGAGTGTAGTTACTAGACACGTGAGCTCCAGTGACTGAGTGTACTTACTAGACACGTGAGCTCCAGTGGCCGAGTACGTGTAGTTACCAGACACGTGAGCTCCAGTGGCCGAGTGTACTTACTAGACACGTGAGCTCCAGTAGCCGCGTGTACTTACTAGACACGTGAGCCTGTCTCTTATACACATCTAGATGTGTATAAGAGACAGGTGTACCTACCAGACGGGTGAGCTCCAGTGGCCGAATTGTACTTACTAGACACGTGAGCTCCAGTGGCCGAGTGTAGTTACTAGACACGTGAGCTCCAGTGACTGAGTGTACTTACTAGACACGTGAGCTCCAGTGGCCGAGTACGTGTAGTTACCAGACACGTGAGCTCCAGTGGCCGAGTGTACTTACTAGACACGTGAGCTCCAGTAGCCGCGTGTACTTACTAGACACGTGAGCTACAGTCACACAATGAGCACTATTGTTCAGATGTTGCAAGTCAAGCAGTCATTTGATCTTATCTTAGTCCTGATGATGCTTGATTTGTTTTCATGCATGGGGCGTGAATACTGTTTGCCAATCATCGCAATTTACCAGTTATTGGCTATTGTTCGTTCACTGCTTAGCCTCTGCCGGAAAAACAATTCTGCGAATGATATTTACATTTATACGTTTTTACTGAGACATCTCCCGATTTATTAAATCTGAAACGCAAACATTCGTAACGCGATTCATACATTCACATATATGGAGATGAATCGAATTCTATCAAAATCATTTTGATACTCATTGCTATGAACAGCCGCTATATTTTTTAAATCATTTTTCACCCCATTAGGGAGGGTTAATTTACATGAAAGTAGTTCAAATACACGGTTCTATGTAATACTTTTAGACTTAATTTTTGAAGACAATGTCCTAATTTTGCCAAACTAGGCAATAATAACCTAAGGACTAGAGGCCAATCCATCTCTTGAAATGCTAAATGCTCTCGTTTTTTTTTTTTGTGGCGAGTGGTCGAACGTTTGCTTAGGCCCAACTAGACCGACCGTTTCATTCTTCTAGCAGGCGAGGTCTCGTGCACAAGTCGCTCTTCTCAAACACACGTGGAACGTGAACAAAGCCCAAGTTATTATTGGTGCTGCATGGTGGTTGTGGATTATAAGTTCAATTTACAAAAGAACGACAATTTGAGAAGAAAGCTACAAACATTAATTCTTTTTAAAAAATGACTGATTTGCATAATACGAGTGGAAAGACGGCGATCCAACAACTGATCAGCAGAAGTTGGAATTCAAAATATCGCTCGCAATTCGTGCGAAAAATGGAGCTGCGCATGTGCAAGTGTCTGGTGGAGTTTGAGACCGAAATGGTAGCCCGTAAGCGTGTAGCTAAACTGGAATTCAATCACAACGGGTAAGTTTCTTTATAGGATTCATACTAGGATGTTGAAACGTCTATTTGTGACGGATTGTAGTTTTTTTCTATCAAAGATACCCTAAATGTTTTGTAATAAACCATCGTTTTCAGCATTTCAAAATGAATTTTCAACTATAAGATTCTTACTCATTACCCCAATAAGATTCTTTAGTATCATTTATTTTGTTGCGTCAAGAAAGAAATGCAGGTTCAGATGTAGCCATTCGGTAAAAATTTCTGTTTCAAATGTCAACGCTGAATATCAGTTAACATCTACTGTGCTATTCTCAATACAGCAATTTTTTTTTTCCAGCTCGCGGTTGGTGCGTGTCCGCGATTGCCTAATTGAGGTTTTGGACCCGCGGACGCAACGCATCGTTCACACCCTACCGCGTTTCATCAATTTCAATTTGAGCAATCAAATCTTCGAGTGAGTACTGTTGTCGGTTGACTACAACCAATCTAAGTTTTAAATAATTTTAAGCACACAAAGTGTTCTCAAGTGTCAGCGGATTCACTATAAAAATACTTGTTTCTCGCTAGAAAATGAAAACGAGCAGTATAAAAATACTATAAATAATATAGTTATGTGAGCTTTGATTGGGCCATGTTGGCATGTCACTCACTTTAACCACTCGGCCACCTAGCTGATTTTATAACTAATTGCAGGATTCGAAACCCAAGCACGCTGCTTCCACCTTAGTGATCTTAACCACTTCCTTTTCGAGTAGCCGATGTAACGCGAGCTGCAGTATTGATGGTGTTAACTTTGTTTATTCTGTATTACCGCGCAATAAAATGTAGTACTATATTGCAATTATTGATGCACATCATCTTCAAAAAATAACTAAAAAACTGGTTTGCATTGCAACATTTACGGCTGCATTACAATGGCGTGACGATTGTTTTTCAAATTGCTTTGTTTTTAGCTACGCACCAACTCCAACGGTGCTTAAAATATTTCTTCAAAACTTGCAGGTTTACGGATGTCGACAACGAACTGATGTTCGATTGCTGGAGTATGAATAGAAACCATTCCGAGTTACAACTCTGGGATATGCGGTTTTCGTCCTCCCATGTCGGCAAGATCAGTTTCCCTGATAAGATAATGGCGCAATATGCATATTCCAAGAAGGAGAGGTCGCTCCTAACTAAAATATGTGAATACTCCTACGTATCCGAATTAGTGCTGTACAACAAATCAAAGTAAGTATTCACCTGGATCGGTGAACAGACTTTCATAAGAGATGTTTTGGGTTTTATTCATTTACTTCTTAATATATTGGGGCTGATCTTCAGTAGCTGAATGTTATATGCGGATTGTGTGGATGAATCGTGTGGTAATATTTTGCGCCACTAACTTTTGCATTATTTCACAAATATTGAATTATTTTAAGTCATTCATATCGGGAACTCAGCAGTATGCTCTTATGGACATAAATTGATCATAAACAAGCATTTAATGCTATATGCATCAAGTTATTTATTGGAACAGATGTGTACTAAATGTATCTTCACGTTCTTCAAAATTTTCCCATTCTTGAATACATCGAGGCAGCAGTGTGCATGAGCTAACTGATGCTTGATTTTATTTTAACGTTAAAATTTCATGCTTTGTAAGTAATTATTTCAAACATAAAAGTAGTGTTTTCAACTATTGCATCGGATAATTGGTACTAGAAAATAAGCGCCAACACTTTCCAGCTTTTCGACTTCGGGAGATGCGACGCCTGTGTGGTCTCTCGGTAATGCGTGGTCACCAACTTTACAAGCTACTTGGTTCGGCCTGGCGCCGGACGACAGCTGCCTTGTGTTCCAACCCACTCCTGAGAGCTTCCTTGCTGTTCACAATCTTTCCTTCTCAACCTTGGACGAAGCTTTCAAACAATTTGAGGTGAGAAGCGATTCATGGCCATCGTCACAAACCTTCCACTAAAACAGGCCCCCCGTGGTCATTATTGGTGATTAAAACTGTGAACTCGCCTCGCGATCCCTTGTAACCAGCTTGGATTTAGCAGCCTTATAGGGCGAGCGCGTGTCACTAGGAATTTGTGACCTAGCCTTTTTTGCCTCTGTTTTTACTTCTCTTTTGTATATACTACTGCATCCCAATTATACGTATACTTGTGTTCTCGCTCTCCGCCTCCCTTTACCCTCATGCCTTCCTCCAAGTGGCACATCTGCCTCGAACCCAACGGGCTTGTCCCACAGGGCGAGAGACAGTAACCCCCACCATTATCAATAAAAAGGCTCTCATCTCACTCATCATGTCACCCGCCATCACCATCACCCTCACCCAACCCACCATCAAATCTATCAGAACGCTCGTGACCCCAGACATACCGCATCCAACTGAAAAAATCGACCCAAGAATACCTACCAACCGACCCAAAATATTTCAAACGACCTACAGACTACATCTACTACATTGACTTCCACACACTCTTGAATAGGCCCCATCCTGTATACCTTCTAGCAGACATAAACGCAAGACACACAATCTTAGGAAATAACTTCTCCAACCACATAGGAAGACAATTACAGCACAAATATACCCACATCGGACCCTACTTTCCAACCCTCATTACCAACAACGGCACAACATCACCTGCCAGAGTCCGAAACAACAATAAAGCATTCCACTACATACACCTACAGCCCGGACCCATTACCCCGTCAGATCACATTTCCATAATAGCCACCATATCTGCAAATCCCGTACAAATGCACGTCCGCCCACGCAGATCCTGCCTTAGAGTAAACTGGACACTATACAAGCAAACATTATCCAAACACACAGTTCCCACACAACCTAATCCTACACTAGAAGAAATAGACACTCTCTTAGATAACTGGATAAAACACAAACAGAATGCCACCGATACCTCAATCGCCACCATAACACACAGCATCATTCCCGGCATCAAACCCACCCACGAAACATTACGTACTCATTTAAATACAATACAAGCCACCCTCCAATACATTCTCACCCACGATCCGTCGCTAGCGCTCAACTGACAAGTCATCACCCTACGTCAACAACAAGTCAACAACACACAGCATACAGACACCTCCAAACACAGAAATGGCAGGACCTCATTAGCACGTTAGAAACACAAACAGATCCATCCCCAAAAATTTTGGTCATCCCTAAAACGTATGATAGGCTCTAACACCAAACAAGCTGTCCTATACCTCAAACACAACAACATACAACATGACACACCCGAACAAAAAGGATCCATCTTCCGCAAACACTGACAGGGAATATTCACTCGTGATGACTCAGACAACGAAGACTTTGACATAGAACACATACACACGGTACAAGACCACGTCAACAACATACACCTAATTCACCCATATAGTAATGGCGACCTTCCTCGACTCCACCCTGCAGACTTCCCTCCCATCATCATAAGAGAATTACAACGTACACCAGGTTCCACAGGCAAAGCCAGGAGAACTACAAAGCGCCAGGTCCCACAGGCATCACAATCCTCTAACTCAAACCCTTACCTAAAAACATGATCCACTACCTATCACACATATTCAATCATGCCATTTTCGCCGGTTATTTCCCGGATTCACTTTAACACGCAATCATAATCTTCCTCCCCAAACCCAACACTTCACAACACCAAGTCCAAAATTACAGAACCATCTTACTATCAGACATTCACGGGAAGCTTTTAGACAAAATATTCATGAACAGTTTATACGATTAAAATACTCAAGAACACCTTTCCATTCACAACATACATAACACAAGACAACACGGTTCAAGACAACACGGGTACGCTTACACACACAGCACCAGCCACAATCCACGAAACACAAGTCATACATTTAGCACAAAGATACACCACTGACATAGTGCTCCAAGACACACCACTGCCACGTGGCAAAAGCCTTTGACAAGGTTTGGCACACCGGACTCCAATACAAGATCTACCAGCTCGACCTCAACCCGTTTTTCACCGAAACACTGTCAGACTACTTTACAGACAGAACAGCAACCATAAGAATAGGAAATCACATAGGTCCCCTATTACAACTTCACCCAGGTGTCCCCCAAGTGGCTTGTCTCTCTCCCACACTGCACAGCTTTGCAGCTTTCATATCCATGACCTCCAACCACCAATACCCAACACAGAATACACAGCCTCTGCAGATGACATAACACAAATAACCACAGGACCTTACCCACACAACCACGCAGCAATACGAACACAACATACCATGCAACAGATCAACACCTTCTAAAATAAATTGCTCATAAGGACAAACACAAATAAGTTTTAAACCATGCCCATCAATAGGCGAAACACTTCCGACATCTTCATAGACAACACCCACTATCCATAGACGAACAAGGGAAGGGAACAGTTTTAGGTTTACACTTCAATACACACGGCTTCAGCTCCCAAATAGCAAAAAGGAAAGCAATGGCCCCCACCAATCTACACAAAATACAAAGATTTTACCACCTCCCACCCAACATGAAACGCACTTTATACCTCTCCTTTTTCCCTCATTTACCCGCCGATACCGCTACACACCCCATCAAAGTCATTCATATCTAAACTGCAGAGAGTGCAAAACAAAACCCTCCGATTAATCACAATCACACACTGCTCCGACTTCACATCCTCCCAAACACTACACGAACAATGCGACATTCCTACAATAAACACAGTCCTTCACCAACTAGCACGCAAAACTTGGTCCACCATCAAAATACATGATCCCCAGCCTTCAATCAACTCACACTCCCCAAAGACGCCATAGCTAGGCATCACCAGTTATTCAAAAGCTCCAAGTTACACGCGCTAGGTACCCCACCTACACAGCGGACCGTGCTACGCCCAGGCGACAGTTGTGTTCATCACGTCTGGGTGTGACTGATACCATAACAACCCACATCATCCTCAACACTACAACGCTGACAGACAAACGCAACTCACCCGAGAGTAACACACAGTAAAGACAAGACGATGAACTACCAAAAATCAGGCTATAACTGACAAAATCCACCCTCTGAGTCACGAGCGACTCACCATCCTCATTATCATCATCATCATCATCATCACCACCTCCATTGTCATCATATCATCCTTCAAAAAAAATAGAAATAAAAAAGATGAATAAATAAAGCGAAACCGCATGTAAAATAATGTAAATAAACAACCACCACCTTCTCATCACCTGCATAAACCATCCAAAGCCCTGATGGGTTCCCCCCTTCCCTTCCAACCCCAAACAGATCCCAATCACCTTCAACCTACCGAATCATGCGCAATGCGCCTTTCAACCTCTTGCTGTCCTTTCCATTTCCCCTTATTATTTTTGGCCACCCTGCGCCACCTCTTGTTCTCTTAAACTCTTTCCTATAGTGGCACCGCAACAACAGCACTAGAATAGCAACAACCATATTAGTTTCCGGTTCTTAAACTCATTGAATAAATATTACAGGTAAGGTAATGAAAAGTTTTACAGGGTGGCACAGTGGATACAGTTCAGAGTACCAGGATTGGAGCAGAGAGGCGCGGGTTCGATCCAAGCTCTGTTCGGTAGTGTCTGTTCGGGATCGACGAGGAGGCCGGGCGGTTAAGCAAAGCAAAAATTGGGGCAAAGAGTTACAATTTCGAGACCGCAACGAGCTGTGAATGTTCTGCGATGCTAAGAATCAGCAACAGGTCTACGGCCTAATTAACGCTGAAACCGCCATTATTATTATTAAGATGTATGGAAGTCAGCATAATGTCCTCGGGTGTCTATTTTCAGCCGGCCAATTATATCAGAGTATGTTTGTGTCTTTCAAATGTGTGCCTTGATCGGAGAATGATGCTACGTGAATTAATTACCGTATTCGATGACCGATACAGATGTACCGTATTCGATGCTAAACTGCAGCAAGGCCAACAGCAGACAGGAGCGATGCATTCCAAAACCTGCCATGAAAAGTAAATCTTATTCTTTTTCAGGACGGACGACTGAAGACCATGAAAGCCCCATGCCCGATCCCGGGTGGTTTAAGAGTTACAAACAAACTCACCCACGTGGTTCACGATTCTCAACTGTTTAGCAATTTCAAATTCTGCCCAAGAGGAAATTTCGTCCTCGGTAATCCTTACAAATTTGACGAGGTGAGAAATTGTCATGTTTAACGTTACGCGAGCTTATATTGACATCATTGGGAAGTCTATGAAGCATTCATTGAGTCTTCGAGCATTGTCTCACTCTTCAAGAAACATCGTCCACTTATCGCTCATGATGTTCAATGAAACGTTCGTACTTGTGATTTAAAGCTTTGTTTCCATCAGCTGCCCCCATAACTTGCCGCTGCAAGCGTCTAAAAAGCCCGTTTACACTAGGGGCAACGATATGGGCGGTGAGGCGCTTGCTGCAGCGCCTCACCGCCCACAACTGTTCACACTTTTTTTTGTACACGGTACCTCGAGACCGCGCGCTTTGAAGATTAGTTGCCAATTAGACGTCAGTGATGATGGATGAATCCAAATTTGAGCTCTGAGCCATTGTTCTCGGGTGGGCTGCTGTTAGGAAAAGATGTAGGCGTCGCTGTATTTGTGTAAAAAAATGGTTGCAAAGAAGTGAGGGGGCTTACACAATTACATTTCATATGCAATGGAATTCATTTGCAATGAAATTCATTTCACGATGTAATGGCGAACGCAACGCACGAATTGTCTTGCGAACCTCGTCAATGGTGACTTGTACGCAAAAGTTTCTTAAAACTTCAACTAAATTCACCAGAGCTTGTTCCTTTGCATTTCGACTTTTATACTCCTTTGACTGAACTCTCTACAGGCATTCATGGTCTCTACAAAGATCAAGTAGCCTCTCTTCTAGAGAATGAGTCCAAACAAGTGTGGCGTTAGTTGCCATAGTGAAGGACCAGTGTATACAGACCACAGACAGCCGTCTACTGAGTGCAGCGCTTGTGTTGCATGAGGTAGGGCACCTGTGAATCGCTATCTCGTCAATCGCTTCGTTGCCCGCCTGAAGCGCACGTAGAGGGGCGGTGAGGCGCTTGACGCCCGTGTGTTGCCCCTAGTGTGAACGGGCTTTAAGGAATTTCTGCATTTTATCACTGAATTAGCCAGGAACAATTTTTCGCAGGTCATATTATTAATTCCAAGATTTCAAATTTTTCTAGCTACGCGTGTCTGTATTATGTAAATATTATTTCTGTAAATCACACCGTGGATCAATCACTGTGGTTTAACCTAACTCGGACACTTTCATTTCAGATATTTAGGGTCTACAGCTTCAACCACGACGTCCCGACGTCTGCATTTAAACATAATCCATCGTCTCTGACCAGCACGGCGCAATTTACTGCCTCCGGACACCGAAAGAATTCTGTGGTTCCATTTATTCTCAGTGCAACAGGCGAAATCATCATCGCCTGCGACGTCTTTGGAACCATCGACTTTTACCACTTGAAAGCGCCGATACTAACCGAAGTTCCAATGGATTTGAAGCCCTTTCATAGTTTCACGACCAATGAGCCGTCCTCAATGGCGCTGAGCCCAAACTTAGACAGCTTCGTGACCGGTCATTACTCTGGCCAAATGGTGTGGTATAATCCTAGACTTTGAGATGGTGCTATAAAACATTTATTGATGAACATTGATTGGCTAAAAGTTGGTTTTCAAACGTTTTGCAATTAATATTTTATTGAAAAGAGTAAGGAAATTTAGACAGGTATCTTAATTGTGGAGTTAAGTAGTTATGTTGGCAGAATTTTCTATATTTATCTCCTGTCTCTCTCTTGCGGGTAGACGCCTCGTGTAAGCGACCGCCCCTTAATTGACAATACTCTCCGCCTCGTGTGGGCCATGAACGATTTTTATATGAAAAATTCAAAATAAATATATCTTCCCGTTCGCGAACGATGTTTATTCTTGCATCCCATTAGGGGATAGTTTAATTGCAAACCATTGGGCCATGAAACTGAAATTACTAATTTTAAATTTTTGAACGTGTTCATTCGCTTGCGGTGCCTTACTTGATGAGCATCAGTAACTTCAAATACAGCTTAAATAATAAAGTAACTATCATTAAAAACAATTCGAGACGAATGTGAGTCGTTCCATTGCCCAGCTTTGTTTTATTCTCCAAATCACCAGCAGCTGTCCAAACTATAGCGACTTCAAGTAGCTTGAACAAGCGAGACAATGGAAACAATAATAAATCAAAAAGGTTTTATGTCCGCTTAAAATTGTGGAGCAAAAACCTGAGCGTGCTCTAGCTCAGAAGTTATTATTCGAATTAATTGCTAATTTATTCATTCATGGTATAATCAACTATCTGAGGAGATATAAAACAATTTTGTGCTATTTTTGAACTCGGGCTATATAATAGAAATTGAAATTCAAAATGGGCGTTTTTTAGGCCCGCCAACGGATCATGAAAAATTAGGCTCAAGCAAGCATGACTTAATATCAATCTATGCTTTTCACCGGATTAAATTTAATGATTATTATCCACGTACTGACATGTTTTAAGTGCCTTATAAAATTCCAGTCAGCTACATAAATAATTTTCGATGTTTCGGCAGAAGTTCTCTATCAAACTACGGGTACGCAGCCGTGCACCACCAAATTTGTGCACCAATCAGCCTTGAAAGGAACGCCTAGCATATTTCCGGATGACCAACAATCAGCCGTAGATGATGCCATCCGTCGGTAACCAGCCCGTGACATCATCTTGCTTTAAATATTAGGTGCTTTACGCCACCATATTCTGAAGTGAATAGCCCAGAGAGTAATGGTTATGCACCACTGAACGCTGCATCGAATCATCACTTCATACCATGACTTTAGCTCGAACTGTAACTTGCGGACAACGGACTGTGACCAACCAGCCCAGGTCGCCTGTGGAACTGCGTGCATCCTGCCGTGCACCACCAGACCGTCACTTTTAGCTCACAGCATTGGGGTTAGGTTTCATAAAGCATAGTTCTATTCCAAAATCTATCGTCCTTCGACGAGCGACTTCTACAGCTTCGCTAAATTACGTAACTTTTAGCTCACAGCATCTGAGGTTAGGTTTCAGATAGCATAGTTCTGTTCCAAAATTTATCGTCGTACGACGAGTGGCCGTTCGACCGTAGGCTGATTCGACACACGGGACAGATACGGACGGCTCCTGCGCGCTCCTCTGATTGATCTAATTCAATGGATGTGATTTGTCTGGTGGCTTGCGGCTGTTAGTGTTACAGTCAAGAAGTGTTGTAGGCTACGTTCTTCAGGGAAAGGATCATGATAGTCTATTCGAAGCACGGCAGTGGTGGTCTCCGACAGGATTTTTTCGTTCGTGACGAAGGATTTTTGTGTTTTGTACCAGTTCTTCCCGGGTTAATTTGGTGTTGTGGTTGTCCATAGCGTGCGTTTTTGGTCCTCCAGAAACTAAATGCATTGTGAGCCGTCTTGATAGGGTTGTAGTAGTCATGCCAATATACGAATTATTGCGGGGCTCGCACGCCCCGCGGTTACACGTGTATTCGTATATGGCATTTGTTTGTTTCAGGGCTGGTAGTTTTGGGGCTGTGTTGTTCTTTGTAATTAAACTGGTTACGGTAGGGCTTTTGTAGTAGATTATCAGCTGTAATCGGTGGTTGTCGTTTGTGCATGCCACGTTGCTTCGAATCATCTGCTCGTCAGTTTTGTATGCAGATGAATATTGATTCTGATAGTAGACATTATGGACTTGATACTCGGGGTATCTTGCATCGCTCGTTGGGTTTCTTGTTTTTTGCCTGATTGTTGCGAGGTAGTGGCTCAGAATATTGTCAAAGAGTGAATTAGAGTAACCGTTGTTGATGAAGGCTTGTTTTAGTTTCAAGATGCTGTCATGAAATAACTGCCAAGAATGTGATATTTTATAGGTGCGGTGGATTAATTCCTTGATGGTGCTGTCTTTATATCGTTGGGGGCATTCACTGCGAGCGTTGAGGTATATTCCGTTGTTGGTGGGCTTTTGGTATACTGAAGTTATGAAGTTATCAGTGGCTTCGGTGTTAACATCCAGGAAATTTATTTTATTGCCCGTTCGGATTTCGTGAGTAAACTTCAATACAGAGTTGGTTCCGAAAAGGTTCTTGAGCATTAGGAGGAATGCAGCGTAGTCAGTGACTATGAAGCACTCGTCGACGTACCTGCAGTAGATAGATGGTTTGATGTGGGGATTGGATTCGAGGATCTTGTTTTCCAACGCGGTCATGTAAAAATTGGCAAGAGTGACACCTAAAGGGCTTCCCATACTGACCCCATCTGTTTGGAGGTACAGAGTTCCATCTGTATGGGTGAGAGGGCATTCAGTTGTGCAGGCAATTAACAACTTCTTTAGTATTGCTTTGTCCAGCGGGGGGAATTTTGTTGGGTCGACGTATGCCAGATAACATTGTTGGGATTACCGAAACGTTTGTAAATAGCGATTCTACATCCAATGAAGCAAGGATACCGTGTGGATTAGTTGCTCGGATAATTTGCAAAAAGTCATCTGTCGAACTGATCTGGTATTTACACTGCATGTAAGGCACTATCATCCAATTCAATTGTTCAGCGATTCCATACACTGGGGTTGGGACTTGAGAAATTATTGGCCGTAGTTGGTTTCCTGTTTTATGAGTCCTTAATTGAAAAAAAGACATATAATCGATTCCTCAATCTAACACGTACGTGCGTAAGTTGGTGTTCGAACCTAAACTTAAACTTTGACATCCACTCCTGTTGAACAAAAGACCGTTGATGATATCGTATACCGATGTTTACACGGAAACATTGCATTTTTAGACATTTCAGAACACTGTCACTTTCTTGTTAAATGGAATACTTCTATCTGACAAAAAGAATGTGAGCTCAGTTCATAATCAATTTAAATGATTTGAATGCTTACAGTTCGACTAAAAGCTCGTTCTGCGTTGATGTATGTACGTACATGCGTACGTTTGTCAAGGCATATATGATGGATCGAAATGATAATTGATTGTACCAATTTTTTAAGCTTACGTGTTGGAAGATAATAATTACATTAATTATAGGGCAAAAATATCTGGATTTATTTGGCTATCTTCAAAAACCTCAGGGTGCTTGAAGGCATGGAAATACGATTAAGGGGTCCAAGAGCAGAAAAATACTTGATAAGTACGTGGCAGTAGAAAAGCAATGCTTGTAGCTCCAAGAGATAAATTTCTAATTCATGTCATATAACACACATAACTAATACGTAAGCTGTTAAGTGGCAGAAAAAGCAACAGATGAATTTTCGGTTATGCATTCAGGGCCTATAAGCACTTTATTAAATGTTCTGGTCGCGATGAGTTGGGATGAAACTGCTTGATATTGTGATAACAGTGCATTGCTTGATAACAGGCATTAAACAATGTACCTTCGGTTATTCAAACAAGGTCTAAAATTTTTAATATTTTCAGGTGAGTTTCACAATTGTATCATATCGTGTTACGGTTCAAATAATTCCTTCAGTGAATTAAAATCGTTTTAGTCAATGGCGGTTACTGGGCGTGAGTGTCATACAAGCGTGCATAACTCTGCTCAGGCATCTCACTACTTTTTGAACGAATTTAAAAAAGTTTAGTCATTAGTTTAAACAACCTCGATGACAACAAAACCTGGTCAATGCTTTACGGTTCTTCTGCCTCATAGTTACTTTATCATGTTCGCAGGGCAAAATTTGTTGCTAGCCTCTTTAAATGTTTATAAATTGTTCCTGTTTAACGTGATGCAGCTTGAGGCAGTGAGTAGTTTACACGAAGTTACACGTACGTTCGAGTTTTCCTTGACGCAGCTGCCTGGTGGGCTGCGGCCTGCGCTGCAACGGCTGCATCCGGCGTTAGTTCGAAAGTTGTAGTAATGATGACCACACGTGAACGGCGAACGTTGCTCATTGCAATCCTGTAATAGTAGTGGGAAAAGTGAACTTGTGAAGTATTCGACTTAAAAATTATAGATTTTAAAAGCTGAACTTTACTAGAAATGTATTCGTTTTTCTGTACAATTTTAACTCGAGGTATATGCTGGCATGATCATGTTATTTTAGCTGCTCGTGTCCATATGCTTCAGGTTTTAATTTCTATCTCATCGAGAAAGCTGGATCCATATTTGTAAAGGTCACTCAAGTTCAACTGCATGGTTAGGCTTAGTTTTCACCAGTCAAGCAGTCACCATGTCGCTGCAAGAGAAACGCATACAAACACGAATAGAAATCCTATAGCCTCAAGTTCAACTCCGTAAGTGATCAAGTTACTGGTTCATTGTAATTATATGCTTGTTTTTCGTTGTATCGTTGGGTTTGGTGCCAAAGCGAAATCGAAGTAATGTGAATTTGGTGATTTTCGAAGAATGGCATATTATTAGAGCATAAATTTCCGAACTTTTCATTGAATATGACAATGTTAGGAAGGGCACAAGTTCCTACTAAAATTTCGACGATAGCATTTGATCTCTTCTTCACAACCACTGTAGAAAGAATTTTATAGACTATTGCAAATCAGTTCGATAGACCAATTGGTAAGTCTGAATGTGTTAGAATGTTTCGCAAATGCATAATTATTTGCACGCTACCACTCATGTTTGAATGTTCCTCTTTGGCATCCAGTTCCCCCACTTGTCGCAATGTGCAGTCGTCTTCAACACCGCTCCCTTTGACACGTTCACACTCCCGACAACTTGCTACTAGATGGTCAATTCTCGCCAAGTGTTGATTAGTCTCTCATTAAACTGAGACCTGAGAGTCTAGTTCAAATAAAACGTTGGCATGGCGGTTATCACTTCGACGCTGTGACCTTTAAATGTTTTTTTTCAATACATTTTTCAGCTGCCAATCGTTTCTTTGTATTCAAAACCTTACTTTTGTTTATGTTTTATGGAAATTAGTATTTGATCATTTTAATATGTCCTCGGCTGTATATCCCGAGATTCTTTGCTTGTACTGTCATGCTGGAAATGATTATGAATGCACGTTAACATGAATGTGTATGCATATCCAGCATTGGAGTGCTAACGCAATTATCTCGGCGATATACGGCCGAGGTTTTTTTAATAAATAGCGAGAGACGGCCATGCATGTTGCGCCGGAGTTACATGCCCGTAGCGCCCATGATGGAGGCGCTGCCGCACGCGGTCAGTCCATATGGAACGCACTGCGGCCGCGAGCCGCTTAAGGGCGAACCGTCGCTCTTAAAAAGTGGACACATCGCCCATGTTACGGGGATGTTGCGCGGGCACCCCGTCCGATCGTCCCTACCTCGATCTACTTAAATGCGCCGGCGATGCGCCTTTAAATTTTAACTGGGAATGATTGATGTGATTAGATAATATTACACTTAAAGTTTAATAGAGCGACCGGTACAGAAAGATTAATATTAATTTTTGGTAACTGAATTTAATTTTCTACGGCAGCTAAAAACTTGAAAGTCCGTGGATAAGATTCAATATAATTTAATCTGGGAAGAAGCATAGATTTCTAATCACTCAAACTGTTTCAAGTTAATTTTTACTTGATTTGTTAATAAAACGTCGTATATCTCAAATCGGGCGACTTTGAATCGACCGTAAAAACACTTGTTTCTGTTTTTCAATTTCTATAATATAGTGCGAGCTTGATAATTAAACAAACTCTTTTTTATTTATCATCAGAAGGCTGATTATACCATATTTGCATAAAATTATCAAAGATTTTAAATCGGTTAACTAGTACATTTGGTGCCACAGCACGCTCATGGTTTTGCTTCATAATTTCAAGCGGACAGAAAAGCAGTTTAATTATCGTTTACTCTGCCCCGCGTGTCCAGGCTGCTTGAGGCCGCTAGTTTGGGCCGCTGCCGATGAAATGGACAATGGAACGACTCACATTCGTCTCGACTTGGTTTAAATAACATACACTTCATTATTTCGGCTGTATTGCAGTTACTTATGCTTATCTAGAAAGTTCCGTGACAGGACCGAGGCTGTTTAACATCCTACAAAGGATCTAAGAGAGGGGGAGTTCACCCTGGAGACCTTCAAGAGACGACTGATCATGTTCCTGGGCACAGTCCCTGATCGTCCGCCCATGCACCACTACCAGCGGGCAGCGGCGAGAAGCAAGCAACATCATCGTGCATCAGCTGGCCCAAATGAGGGCGGATGCGCGATATTCAGTGGCGGCGATCCATCGTGGCCTGGGACTGCTTCGTCCGAAACATATACTAAGGATACTATGACATGATGAGCGAATGATCACTTTCTAATTTTTTAATTTATTACTTTAGTTAACCGGCCCAATGGTTTACCAATTCTTCAGCTGTTAATCTATTTTGCACTGGAGACAAAAAAAAAAAAAAAAACATCGTTCACAAACGAATATATAATTACTTCGAATTATTGTAATCAAAAATCGTTCATAACCCGCAAGAGGTGGAGTCTCGTCAATGCACGGTCGCTTACATGAGGCGTCTACTCGCAAGGAGAGACAGGAGATAAATAAATGAAATTCTGCCCACATAAGAACTTAACTCCACAAATATAAGATACTTGTCTAGGTTTTTTTCACTCTTTTCAATAAAATAATGTAAAACTCATGAAGACCAACTGTGCCGATCAAAGTTCATCGTGAACGAAGACAAATTAGTGGAAATACAAGGAAATGTTTTGTCGTACCTTCTCATGATTCAGTGATGTATTTGATCTAAATTCTAGGACTATACCATACCACTGGGCCAGAAAAAGATGGGCCGGTCACGAAGATGTCTAAGTTTGGGCTTAACGCCATTGCATAGCAAGAGGACGGCTTATTGCTCGTGATACTATGAAATGGCTTCAAATCCATCGGACCTTCGGTTAGTGCCGGCGCCCTCAAGTGGTAAAAGCCGATGGTTTCAAAGATATCACAGGTGACTATTATCTCGCCTGATGCACTGAGAATAAATGGAGGACTCGAAGTCTTTCGATGTCTGGAGGCAGTAAACTGCGCCGTGCTGGTCAAAGTTGGTGGGTTATGTTGAAATTTGGACGTTGGGACGTCGGGATAAAAGCTGTAGACCCGAATTTTCTGCGAAAAAAGTACACAAAAAAGATAAACCTACAGTGATTGATCCATTGTTGATTTACAGAAATTATATTTTCATTCTGCAGAAATTTTCTTTAGCTAATTCATCNGATACACTGTTTACCGATACGGACGAATACTAACCTTGATTTATTGTATAGCGATATTTTCCAATGATCACCGGACTTGGAATCAAATACGTTGGTCAGGAGGGACCTCTCCTTCTTGGAGTATACATATTGATCCACCATCGCATCACGGAAAGAAATCCTTCCGACATGTGAGGATGAAAACCTCAAATCCCAGAGCTGTAATTCTGGATTGTCTTCCATACTCCAGCAATCGAGGATCAGTTCGTGATTGACGTCTGTGAACCTTTGGGTTTAGAGAAATAGTTATTTGTCCTGCAATGAAGTTGGAGCAGAGCTGAAAATCAATCCAATAGAGCAGCAATCGCCACGTCAATGTAATACAGCCTAGAGTGTTGCAAAATATGCCAGTTTAAGTTATTTTTTGATAATTATCCGCACCTGCAATTGAAATAAAATGCTGAATTTCATTGCACGGTGGTTCATTCAATTTAAAAGTTAACACTATTAATTGTCTCCGCATCTCATGCGTCACAAGGGCTGCATGGTGTGACCCCATGTAGCCCTTGGACCCCATGTAGCCATGGAGTGTTTTTGATCAATCAAAAAATATGGAAGCAGCGAGTTGGTTAGAATACGAAACCCGCTCATTAATTGTGAACATTCTAGTACTATATCGGCAAGGTGGCCGGATGGTTGAGAATCGGCGACAAAGCCTATAACAACGCTTTTACCGCTATATTATTAGTACTATTGTTATATTTATGGGCAGGGTGGCTAAGAGGTTACAGTTCAGAATAGAAGTGTCGGCACTGAAGAAATAGTCCCATGGCCTGTTGCCGATTCTTGAATTTTTCGTGACTTGATTCACAAGGGATCCGGCCTTTGGAACCCGATCTTTCCATAACTAACGATTGATTGAGATGGCTGCTGGACTTATTGCCTGGTCCGTAATTTGCTAGGCATGTTAAGACTGAACATATGCTCCTGCATAGCTTCGTCTAGTCTGTTCTTGAAGGCGTTCATACTCGGATCGTCAACGATACTATCATGCAGGGAGGCTGTTCCACATGTCGGTGACTCGAAGCGAGAAGAAATGTTGTCGCATGGATGTGTTACAACGCAGTTTTTTTAGTTTATAGCTGTGGCCCCTGGTGTTGGTTCTTGTTTCAAATTCTAGTAATCCTTCTGGGACCTTGTATAAGCCATGAGTATACTTGTATGCTACAATGAGTTCCCCACGCAGACGTCGATAACTGAGGCTTGGAAGCTTCATAATCGTTAATCTTTCCTCATAGGACTTGCTTTTCAAGCCCGGAATTATCCTTGTTGCACGTATCACACTCTCTATTAAATTTTTTTCCTTTTCAAGTTTCGGTGACCACACGACGTTTCCAAACTCTAGGTTCGGGCGCACGACAGCAACAAACAACTGCTTCATCGCTTCTGCATCTAGGAACTCGAAAGAGCGTCTGATCAGTCCAAGTCGTTTTGAGCTACGTTTATCACACTCCACGAGACCATGACTGCTCGACGAATGAAAGTTGGGCCTAAGCAAACGTTCGACCACTTCTGGCCCGCCACAAAACATGCGAGAGCATCTGTTATCTGGTATAGTATATTGTAGTACCTTCGGTGTTGAAGAATAGGCCTGGATAGGCCTGTCGCCGATTCTTGTACTTTTTTTAAATGTTGGATTGTCTTTTAAACCTGAGGTTAATGTCGTGTTGTGAGATAAAATATACATAAAATAAAATATTCGTGCTGTGAGATATTTCTTCATAATTATCTCTTAACTTATCGGTGCCGTGTACTTATAATACTTCCATATAAATTAAGCTCCCGAATGGGATGAAAAGGATTTTAATGATACATATTTCTGCTGATAATTTCAGGTATTCGAGAGAACAAACGATATCGAAATGATGTAGAAACCAATTCTAATTAACTTCATGTTTGTGGAAAAAGAATCGATTTACAAATGCCTGTGTCTCAAATTTAATAATTCGGGCTATGTTACAATAAAACCGTAAAATTTTCAATAATATTTGTTTTGTAGTTTTAGTTTGTTTCTTTGAAAGTCTCTTGATCTTTACATTTGAATTAGGTTTTGAATATTGATTTTTATTTTCTAAGGCAGCTGAAAACTTGAAAGAACGTGGATAAGATTCAATATCATGTAATCTGGGAAGATGCATATATTTATAATTACTCATGTTTACTTCAGCCGATATGTTTCCTAATTCGATAATACAGCGTCCTATATGTCAAATCAGGAGGCTTTGAATCCACCTCAAATACGCCCGATTATAATTTCCAATTTTTACTATATAGTCCGAGCTGGGTAATTACACATTGTATTTATATAGACATCAAATGGTTAATTATACAATGTTTGCAAACAATTATAAATTTATTTATATCAGTTAAATAATAACTTTCAAGACAGAGCACGCTCAGACCTTTGCTCCAGAATATTGTAAGAGGACCAAAAACAGTTTACTTTTGTTTCCATGGCTCTGCTTGGTTCAGGTTGCTTGAGACCACTAGTTTTTAAATTAATTACTTTAAACAAATGGCCTAATGGCTTTCTAGCGCTCCAGCTAATAGACTATCTCGCACTGGAAGTCAAGAATAAAGTCTACGAGAGAGACAGGAGATAAATAATGGGAATTCTGCCGACATATAACAACTTAACCTCCACACTAAGGCCCTTGCTCGGTGGTCTTCACTCTTCCTAAATTAACTCATGGGTATTGAAGGTCAACTTTTAGCCAATCAATGTTCATCAAGAACCAAACCAATTAAGTAGAAAGGTAAGAAAAGAGTTAATTGTTCCTTCTTAAAATTCTGTGATGCATTTGATTCAAAGCCTAGGATTGTGCCATACCATTGGGCCATCGGAATGACCGGTCACAAAGATATCTAACGCTTGAGTCAAAGCCATCGATATCACACGTCTCTCACACCTTAAACTATTGAAAGGCTCTAAATCTATTGGAAGTTTGGATAGTACTGGCGCTCGCAAATGGTAAAAGCTGGTGCATGTTTCTGCGGCATCGAAGGCAATGGCGATTTCGCCGCTTGCACTGAGTATAAAAGAATCCTTTTGGGGATATCGGTCTGTGGATGCAATAAATTGGGCTGTGCTGGTCAGAGTCGGTGGGTTTCGTTGAAATATATTGGTCGGGGCGTCGTGATCAAGGTTGTAGATCCTAAATTTCTGAAACGAAAGTGTCCATGTCAGGTATACCTATAATAATTAATTCATGTATTAAGGTAAAGAAATTATCTTAACATATTACACATGCGAAGAGCAAGAACACATCGTAGACTTCTCTGACGTCAAATAAAGCCTATGTAACTTCAAACATGTCAATTTCTCACCGAGTAAATGTTGTTAGGAACAACTGCGATGAATTTCCCTCTGGAACAGATTTCGAAACCTCTTGTCTGATAAAAATCGTGTACCATGTGAGTGAGTTCGTTTTTATCCCCTGAACTGCCGGGTATCGGACCACTGGCTTTCTTGATCTTCAGTTGCACACCCTGAAAAAGTATACTATTAGTTTGTTATGTCAGATATTGGTATGCATCGCCGCTATCTGCTGCTGGCCTATAGCTGTAGCTGAGCTCGTATAAAATGCGCTGCATCTGTACTCTTTCGGTACCACAGCATCGATGAAGCCTCTACACTCGATATCAGCCGAGTTACATGCTCCACTCGGTGAAGAAACTTGGCAAATCACACACAAAAGTTTCTCACTGACACTTGGCAAATCACACACAAAACCAATTACCAACAAGCAACGCGAATATCTTGCGAATTATCATTCGCAGATCAACTTACATATTTCATGGACAGAAACGCACTCTGATATTATCTCTGAAATGTAATTCGTGCTGAATTGGATACTTTGCGATCGCATTACCACTCATAATTTTCGAATATATTTCAAAATGTACTGATTTTGTCGCAACAGCGGTCCCTGAGACCAAGCCTAAATAAATCGTGACTGGTGAACGAATTTGTTTATTGCTGTTTTAGTGGAAGTTTTACAGCTATGACTATGAATAGTTTCTCACATCAAACTGTTTGAGAGCGTCGTGCAAGGTCGCGAAGGAAAGATTGTGCACAACAAGGAAAGTACTCAGAGTAGGTTTGAACACAAGGCAGCTGTCGTCCGGTGCCAGGCCGAACCAAGTAGTTAGTAAATTTTGCCCCCACGTATCACCGAGGGAACTCACAGGCGTCGCATCCCCCGACGTCGAAAAGCTGAAAAGTTTTAAAAATGTGCAATACCAATTCACTGGAGCGATAGTTGAACTCACATCTTTTGGAGGTGTTTATAGGTTATATAACATATAAAACATAAAAATATATGCAAGAAAAATGAAATCAAGAATCGGTTTGTGCTTATATAAATCAAAATATAGAAAACCTTATATCTATGTGAAAATAAATTCAATATACGTACATCTTATGACTACCCATCAAACTAAATGCATCAACGTTAAATCAACGTTCGTGACCTATTTAACCATCAGAGTGATAGTAAACAATTCAATATTATTAGCGAAAAAAATGCAAAAGTGTCTACCGCAAAATATATCCATGCTTTTCATCCTCATAAGCCACACAAATCATTTAACTGGCGAAGAGAAGCTGCAAAATATTGAACAGATGTATACAAAAAATATTTCTCAATACTTCAATCCGTATTCAAAATCAAATATATTAGTCAGGAGGGCCCTCTCCTTCTTGGAGTACTCATATTGAGCCATCGCTGCATCACAGAAACGGATCCTGCCGACATGTGATGACGAAAACCGCATATCCCAGAGCTGTAACTCTGGGGCCTTTATATCCTTGAAGCAGCAATCGAGGATCAGCTCATGATCGACGTCCGTGAACCTGCAGGTTTTAAAGAAATACTTAATCATCCACCCAAAGAAGTTCAAACAAAGCTATAAACCAAGACCTTCGCACAATGACCATAATGTCATTGTAATATGGCTGAAAACACGGCAGAGCATATTTGTTTTTCAGTTATTTTTTTTATTATTATCGGCATCAAGAATTGAAATAAAATTCTGAATTTTATTTCAAGGTTGGATGTTCTGAAGTTTATTTAAGAAAAATCTGAATTTTATCTCGTGGGAGGATAGTAAATCCAAAAGTTTGCAAAATTATTCATTTCTACATGGGCTACATGGAAGGGCCAAATGGTCAAGACCATCAGGATAAGAACAGCGAGTTTGGCGTTCGAAACCCGCAATTAGTTGTGAAATTTCAGGTCGAAATCGGTGAGGTGGCATGATGGTTGAGTATCGGCGGCAGGCCATCAAGGCCTAATCAAAGCTCTCGCCGATATATTATCTATAGTATTATCATAATGCTCGTTTTTCACGTTTTACGTGAAAAGTTGTTTATAGTAAATCGGCTGCCTCTTTCGAAAAACTTTATATGGTATGATATTTTATTCAGCGATAAATGCATAAGTGTCTACCGCAAAATATATCCATGCTATATTCATCCTCATAAGCCACACAAATCATTTAACTGGCGAAGAGAAGCCGGAGCGATAGTTGAAGCTCACCATATTTTATGAAGTTCTTTTATTAATAAAGAGTATTTCGCTAAAACGAAACCAGTACTAACTCGAAATATTGTCCTTCCAATCTTAAGCTGATTATCCGTGGTAGGGTGTGGACGACACGGTGCGTCCGCGGGTCAACAACCTCAACCAAGCCGTCTTGGACCCGCACCAACCGCGAGCTGGAAAAAGATTTGATTTAATAATAATACGGCGGCTGATATTCGGCCTTGACGTAGGAAACGCAAATTTAAACCGAGCAGCTGCATCCGAACCGTTTTTTTCTTTCTTCTACTCAAAAAATTAAAATGAATAAAAATGTTTGATTCAAGCAATCACATATTGCTGGAAAATTATTAAGTCCTGAAGCCAAGAGTGAAACAAGAAAAACATTTAGCGTATTTTTTATTACAGAATTGTCAACTTAAAAACAAATAGACTTTTGGCAACATTCAGGTATGAATCTCTTTAACAGTAAAATAATATTTATTTAGAGTACCTATATTTGATAATAAAAAGCGACAATTGGTCGCAATGAGGCTGTTTGCAAAGTCCTGGAATAAAACAAATCTTCTTACAAATGTTAATGTTATAAAAAACTTACCCGTCGTCATTGAATTTCATTTTAAATGGGTGATTACCGGCTAACACTTCGGTCTCAAACACCACCATACTCTTGCACATGCGCAGCTCCATTTCTCGTATGAACTGCGAGCGATCTCTTGAGCTTCAACTTCTGCTGATCAGTTTTTGGATAGTCGTCTTTCCACTCATATTGCTGCTCACGTGTCTGGTAGGTACACTCGGCCACTGGAGCTCACGTGTATGGTAGGTACACTCAGTCACTGGAGCTCACGTGTCTGGTAGGTACACTCAGTCACTGGAGCTCACGTGTCTGATAGGTACACTCGGCCACTGGAGCTCACGTGTCTGGTAGGTACACTCGGCCACTGGAGCTCATGTGTCTGGTAAGTACACTCGGCCACTGGAGCTCACGTGTCTGGTAAGTACACTCGGCCACTGGAGCTCACGTGTCTGGTAAGTACACTCGGCTACTGTAGCTCACGTGTCTGGTAAGTACACTCGGCCACTGGAGCTCACGTGTCTGGTAAGTACACTCGGCCACTGGAGCTCACGTGTCTGGTAAGAACACTCGGCAAAAAAAAAAATCCGTGACTGCTATATAAACTTTTAAGCTTTTATTGTGATATTACACGACTTATTCAATCTGAAACGCAAGCATTCGTAACTCGATTCACACATTCACATACATGGAGTGCATTCGATTAGTTATCAAAATCATTTTGATATTCATTGCTATGCACTGCCAATATATTATTTAAATAAATATTGTCTCATTAGGTAGGGTTAATTTATATGAAAGTATTTTAAATTCACGGTTCTAATAATTTTAGACATTATTTTAAAGAAAATGCCATAAAATTGTCAAACAAGGTAATATTAACCTAAGGACTATAATTCAAACCAAATCTTGAAATGTTAAATGCTCTCGCTATTCTTTATGGCGAGCCAAACGTGGTCGAACGTTAGTTTAGGGCTCTAGGCCTAACTAGACCGACCGTTTCATTCTTCTAGCAGGCGAGGTCTCGTGCACAAGTCGCTCTTCTCAAACACACGTGGAACGTGGACAAAGCTTAAGTTATTATTGGTGCAGCTTGGTGATTGTGGATTATAAGTTCAATTGATAAAAGTAACGGAAATTTGTGAAGAAAGACACAAGCGTCAATTCTTTTTCAAAAATGTTTGATTTGAGTAATACGAGTGAAAAGACGGCGATCCAACAACTGATCAGCAGAAGTTCAAGCTCAATAAATCGCTCGCAATTCGTGCGAGAAATGGAGCTGCGCATGTGCAAGCGCCTGGTGGAGTTTAAGACCCAAATGGTATCGCGTAATCGTGTAATTAAAATGGATTTCAATCACAACGGGTAAGTCTTTTGATATTATTCCTACTAGGACGTTGCAACGTCTATTTGTGACGGATTATCTTTTTTTCATCAAAGATACTCTAAATGTTTTTTAATAAACTATTGTTTTCTGCACTTCAAAAATGAATTTCAACTTTTATTTTCTTGCGTCAGGAAAGAAATGCGGATTCACATGTAGCCGTTTGGGTGAAATTTCCGTTTCATATGTCATCACTGAAATCAGATTGCATCCACCGTATTATTACCATTACAGCAAATCTTTTTCCAGCTCGCGGTTGGTGCGTGTCTGCGAAGACTTGATTGAGGTTTTGGATCCGCGGACGCAACGCGTCGTTCACACCCTACCGCACATCTACGATTTATTTCGTAAACACATTTTCGAGTGAGTACTGTTGTCGGTTGGTTACATCCAATCTAAGTTTTAAATAATTAAAAGAACACAATGAGTTTCAAGTGTCAGCGGATTCACTATAAAATACTTGTTTTTCGCTAGAAACGTGAAAACGAGCAGTATAAAAATATTAAAAATAATATAGTGATGTGAGGTTTGATTGAGCCATGTTGGCATGTCACTGATTCTTTAACCACTCGGCCACCTAGCTGATTTTACAACTAATTACAGGTTTTGAAACCCAAACACGCTGCTTCCATCTTATTGATCTTAACCACTTCCTTTTCGAGTAGCCGATGTAACGCGAGCTGCAGAAATGATTGTGTTAACTTTGTTTATTTTGTATTACCGAGCAAGAAAATGCAGTACTATATTGCAATTATTGATGCATATCATCGTCCATAGGCTGGATGATGATATGCATGCGACATGCCTATCCAGCACGCTGGATGCGACAGGCTGGATAGGCCTGTCGCATCAATCGGCGACAGGCCTATTCTTCAATGCCGAATGTACTATACTATACTATCAAAAAAGAACTAACAAACTTGTAAGCATTGCAAAATTTACGGCTGCATTACAATGACGTGTCGATCGTTCTTCAAATTGCTTTGTTTACAGTTGTGTACCAACTCCGATGATTAAATCTAACTTTAAAACCTGCAGGTTTACGGATGTCGACCACGAACTGATGGTCGATTACCATAGTATGAATAGAAACATCTCAGAGTTACAGCTCTGGGATATGCGGTTTCCGTCTTCAAATGTCAGCAAGATCATTTTTCAAGATACGATAATAAATCAGTATGCCTACTGCAAGAAGGAGAGGTCCCTCCTAACTGAAATAGGTGACTACTCCCATACCAAAATAGTGCTGTACAACAAATCAAGGTTAGTATTCACCTGACCGGTAAACAGACTGTCATGAGAACTGTTTTGGTTTATATTCATTTACTGCTTAATGTATTGAGGATGCTCTCCAATAGCTGAATGATATATGCGGATCTTTTTGGATAGATCGCGTGGAAGCTCATGTGTCTGATCCAATATTTTGTCCAATAACTTTTGCATTCAATTCACAACTATTGAATTATTTCCAATCATTCTCTGATCAGGAACTCAGCAGTATGCTCTAATGGACAAAAAATGATAATAAACAAGCATTTAATGCTATATGCATCAAGTTATTTAGTTTCTTTGGAACTGGTATGTACCTAATGTATTTTCATATTGTTTCAATTTTTCCATTATTTGAATTCGTCGAGGCGGCAGTGTGCATGAGCATACATATGCTCGATTTTCTTTTTAACGTTAAAACTTCATGCTATGTAATATAATTATTACAACCCTAAAAAGTTGTGATTTCAACTTTGATTCGGTGAATTTGCATTGAACAATAAGCGCCAGCACTTTTCAGCTTTTCGTCGTCGGGAGATGCGAAGCCTGTGGGGTCTTTAAGTTATGGGGGTGCACCAAGAATTGCCAGGTATATGTTCAGCCTGTCACCGGACGACAGCTGCCTTATTTTCCAACCCACTTCCGAGAGCTTCCTTGCTGTGCACAATCCTTCCTTTTCAACCTTGGGCGAAGCTCTCAACCAGTTTGAGGTGAGAAGCGATTCATAGCCATCGATGCAAACCTTCCACTAGAACCACAACCATATTCGTAATTAAGACAAACAATTCATAATTATAACAGGTAATGCGATGAAGAATTGGGCTGGATGGCCCTGTGGTTACAGCTCAGAGTACCAAAATTGGTACTCTAAACTGAACTCTGATACAGTTCGATCCCAGGGGGGAGGATGAGGAGGCCAGGGCAAAGAAAAATTGGAGCAGTGAGTTGCATGTTCGAGACCGCAACAAGCTGTGAATGTTCTGCGATGTTAAGAATCAGCGACTGGTCTGCGGCTTAATTAATGCTGAAATCGCCATTATTATTGTTGTTGTTGTTGTTGTTGTTATTATTATTACTATTATTATTATTTGTGTTAATATTATTAGGATGTATTAAAGTCAGCATGAATGTCCGGGTGTCTATTTTAAGCCAGCCGATTATATCATAGTACGTTTGTGTCTATCAAATGTGTGCCTGATCTGAGAATAATGCTACGTGGATTAAATAACTTTGCTGCTGGGTAATTGGGTTTGTGTTTGAGTTACACAGTGTCAATCTTCATCGAGTCGAGCATGCAACTCTACTCCAACCGAGTGTAGCGAACTCGATGTTGGGGTACTGATAGGGTACAGTTTTACCATATTCGATGCTATATAAGGCCCGCAGCGGAAAGGGGCGGTGAATTCCACTGCCGTGTTTCTGGCGTGAAAATCAAATCCTATTCTTTTTCAGGACGGACGACTGAAGACCATGAAAGCCCCTTGCACGATCCCGGTTGGTTTAGGAGTTACAAACAAACTCACCCACATGGTTCACGATTCTCAACTGTCCACTCATTTCAAATACTGTCCGAGAGGAAACTTCATTGTCGGTGATCCTCGCCAATTTGACGAGGTGAGAAATTGTCAGTTTAACGTTACGCGAGTTTATATTGACATCATTGGGAAGTCTATGAAGCATTCATTGAGTCTTCGAGCATTGTCTCACTCTCCAAGAAACATCGTCCACTCATAACTCATGATATATAAAGCTTTGCTCCAATCAGCTGCAGTTGTGGCAGCATGCACTAACTACAATACCACTACCATGCAGTAAGCATCTAAAGGGTTTCTTGCATTTATCACTGAATTAGATACGAACAAGTTTTTTGCAGGACATGTTAATAATTCCAAAATATGAATTTTATCCTGCTCCGCATGTCTGTATTACATGAATATTATTTCTGTATATCATACCGTGGATCAATCACTGTGGGTTTTACCTAACTCGGACACGTTCTTTTCAGATATTTAGGGTCTACAGCTTCAACCACGACGTCCCGACGTCTACATTTCAACATAACCCACCGGCTCTGGCCAGCACGGCGCAATTTATTGCTTCCGCATACTGGACGTCTTCATTTGTTCCATTTATTCTCAGTGTAACGGGCGAAATCGTCATCGCCTGCGATATCACAGGAACAGCCATCGACTTTTACCACTTGAGGGCGCCGGTACTGACCAAAGTTCCAATAGATTTAAAGCCCTTTCGTAGTTTAAAGACCAACTCGCCGTCCTCAATGGCGTTGAGCCCAAACTTAGACATCTTCGTGACCGGTCATTGCTCTGGCCGAATTGTATGGTATAATCCTAGACTTTGAATCAAATACACTATAGAATTTTGAGAAGGTTCAATAAAACATTTCTTTACCGAAGGTGCAGAGGTACCGTTCCACTCAATTTTCTGTGTTCTTGATGAACATTGATTGGCTAACAGTTGGCCTACAAAAGCTTTACATTTCATATTTGATTGAGAAGAGTAAAAACAACCTAGATAGGGATTTTAATTGTGGAGTTAAGTAGTTATGTGGACAGAATTTTGTTTATTTCTCTCCCGTCTCTCTCTTGCGGGTAGACGCCTCGTGTGGGCCATGAACGAATTTTGACGTGAGAAATTCGAACTAAATATATCTTCCCTTCGCGAACAATGTTTATTCTTGTATCCCAGTGCGAGATAGTTTAATTGCAAACCATTGTAAACAAACTAATTTCAGAATTTTGAATGTGTTCACTGGCTTGTGATGCCTTCTAGATGAGCATCAGCAACTTCAAATACAGCTTTTATAAAAAAGTAACTCTTATTGAAAACAAGTCAAGACGAATGTGAGTCGTTTCATTGCCCAGCTTTGTTTTATTCTCCAAATCATCAGCAGTGGCCCAAACTAGCTGCCTCAAGCAGCCTCAACAAGCGAGGCAATGTAAACAATGATTAATTAAATAGGCTTTACGTCGGCTTCACATTGTGGAGTAAAAACGTGAACGTGCTCTTGCACAAAAGTTATTATTCAAATTAATTGCAAATTTATTCATTCAAGGTAAAATCAACTATGTGAGGACAAATAATAACAATTTTGTGTTATTATACTGAACTCAGATTATATAATAGAAATTTAAAATTCGTAATGGGCTTTTTTTGAGGCATTTTAACGGATCATGAAAAATTTGGCTCAAGCAGGCGTGACTTGATATCAATCTATGCTTTTCACCAGAGTAAATTTAATGATTATTATCTTCGTACTGACATGTTTAGGTTCCTTAGAAAATTAAAGTCGGCGTTCAAAAATAATTTCCAATGTTTCGGCACAGGTTCTCCAGCAAACTACAAGTAATGTTATTTAGTCACGTATTTACTCTGCGTCAAATTCACGGGACCGTGTGGATTTTACTTAAAAAAATATATATATGATGTTTGAAAGCGAAGCAAGACCAAAGTCCTGTGTAGACAAGTCCTCGCCCCACAAGTATATGTTTCAGTCACAAGACGCGTTTATATTGGTCATGTCAAGACCCGATTAGAAAATTCCTGCTAGAGGCCAAATTATGTTGACTCAAACCATATTCCAGTATGGAGCGCGAGCTAAGTTGGCCAATCAGACTTTACGATAATAAGGCATTTAATTTTACCGTGCATTTACGAAACTAGTTTTATATACGCATTACAAATTACTGTATTTACGTTAATAAAGTAAACGCTTTTATAAAAAATTAGATTGAAAAACTCTGACCTCAAGCATTTACTTTTCCATCTTCTGCATTAATTGGTGGTTATTTGTTAAAGGATGTATTTTTTTGTAGAAAATTTCACTGCTAGCTGAAAGGGATTGCTTAGTTTTTTAGACCCATTAGGTGTAGTCTAATGGGCCTTCCAAGCTCGTGCTCAATACTGGAAAATGATTACAGTCTGCATAATTTGGCCTCTATCAGAATTTTCCAATCGGTTCTTGACATGACGAATATGCGCGCGTTTTCTGATTGAAGCCAACTTGTGTGTGGAGTACACAGCAATACACGCGGCCTCTCACGACCCTGGTACACGTCAGACATTAATGTTTTTAACTTTCAAATCAAACTTCATGTGGATACATAGTTTTAATTTGTAGGTCTCTTGATCGTTTGACGCAATGATTGATGAGGCTAGATAATATTACACTTAGGGTTTAATAGAGCAACCGGTCCAGAAAGATTAAAATTTATTTTTGGAAACTGAATTTAATTTTTTAATGCAGCTGAAAAGTTGAAAGCACGTGGATAAGATTCAATTCAATTTAATCTGGGAAGAAGCATAGATTTCTAATTCCTCAAAGTGGATTAAGCTCATTTCTTCCTGATTCCTTAATAAAGAGTCGTATATCTCAAGTCGGACGACTTTGAATCGACCTTAAAAACACTTGTTTCTAATTTTTAATTTCTATTATACAGTGCGAGCTTGATAATTATACCAACTCGTTTTTATTTATCTTCAGATGGTTGATTATACCATGTTCGCATCAAATTATCAACGATTTTAAAGCAGTTAAACAATAACTTTGGTGCCAGAGCACGCTCAGGGTTTTGCTTCATATAATTTCCATCGGACAAAAAAGCAGTTTATTACTGCTTCCCTGGCCCCGCTTAATTGTTCAGGCTGCTTGAGGCGGCTAGTTTGGACCGCTGCTGATGATATGGGTAATGGAACGACTCACCTTCGTCTCGACTTGATTTAACTGTCACTTCATTATTTCGGCTGTATTGTATAAATTGATGCAAATCTAGAAAATTCCGTGACAGGACCGATGCTGTTTAACGTCTTACAAAGGACCTAAGAGAGTGGGAGTTCACCCTGGAGACCTTCAAGAGACAACTGATCATGTTCCTGGGCACAGTCCCTCATCGTCCGCCCTGCATCATTACCAGCGGCGAGAAGCAAGCAACAGCATCGTGCATATCAGGTGGCCCAAATGAGGGCGCATATGCGCGATATTCAGAGGCGGCGATACATCGTGGCCTGGGACTGCTACGTCCCAAACAAATACTAAGGATACTAAGGCATGATGAGCCAATGAGCACTTTCTAATGTTTTTAATTTATTAGTTTAGTTCACCGGCCCAATGTTTTACGAGTTCTTCAGCTGTTAATGTATTTTTCACTGGAAGACAAAAATAAACATCGTTCTGGAAGGGGAAGATATAATTACTTCAAATTACTCTGATCAAAAATCGTTCATATAATCCGCAAGAGGCGGAGTCTCGTCAATGCACGGTCGCTTACATGAGGCGTCTACCCGCACGAGAGAAACAAGAGATAAATAAAGGAAATTCTGCCCACATAAGAACTACACAACTAAGATCCCTGTCTAGGTTGTTTTCAATCTTCTCAATCAAATATTAAATGTATAACTCATGAAGACCATTTGTGCCGATCAAAGTTCATCGTGTACGAAGACAAATTAGTGGAAATACAAGGAAATGTTTCGTAGTACCTTCTCAAGATTCAGTGATGCATTGCATCTAAATTCTAGGACTATACCATACCACTGGTCCAGAAAAAAATGGGCCGGTCACGAAGATGTCTAAGTTTGGGCTCAACGCCATTGCATAGCATGAGGACGACTTATTGCTCGTGATACTATGAAAGGGGTTCAAATCCATCGGACCTTCGGTTAGTGCAGGCGCCCTCAAGTGGTAAAAGCCGATGGTTTCAAAGATATCACAGGTCACGATGATTTCGCCTGATGCACTGAGAATAAATGGAGGACTCGAAGTCTTTCGATGTCTGGAGGCAGTAAACTGCGCCGTGCTGGTCAGAGTTGGTGGGTTATGTTGAAATTTGGACGTTGGGACGTCGGGATAAAAGCTGTAGACCCGAATTTTCTGCGAAAAAAGTACACAAAAAAGATAAACCTACAGTGATTGATCCATTGTTGATTTACAGAAATTATATTTTATTTCTTTATTTTCTTTAGCTAATTCATCGACAAAATGCAGCACACTCCTTAGACGTTTGCAGCTCCATGTTATTGGGGAAGCTGTTATGAACAAAGCTTCAAATCTCAAGTACGAACGTTCCATTGACCATCATGAATGATGAATGTATGATGTTTGTTGGTGAGTGAGACAGTATCATAGTCAATGCTCGAAATCTTAACGAATGCGTCACAGACTTCCCTAATGATATCAGAATGAGCTTATGTATCGTTAAGCATGTCAATTTCTCACCTCGAATGGTCCACAAGGATCACCGACGATGTAGTTTCCTCTTGGACAGATTTTAAAATACTTTGACAGACGAGAATCGTGAACCATTGTGGGTGAGTTTGTTGGTAACTCCTGAACCAGTAACCACCCAGAATGGGGCCACTGTGTTCCATGATCTTCAGTCGCCCGTCCTGAAAAAGTATAAGATTTGCTCTTTATGGTAGATATGGGAACGCATCGCCCCTGTCTGCTGCGGGGCTAGCTGCAGCTGAGCATCGTATAAAATACTGTGCATTTGTACTTCATCGGTACCTCATAAGAGTTCGCCTCAACATTCTGTTCTAGTCGAATTGCCTGCTCGACTCTGTGAAGCTTTACATCTAGTAAATTAAGCACAAACCAATTTACCTATAGCAATAAAGCTAATTAATTGTCGGAGTATCATTGGCAGATCAAGGCACGCATTGGATAAACACGAACTCACTCTGATACTATCTGTTGACTCATAACAGACATCCGGACATGCACGCTGGATGCATTTCGATCAAATTACCAGTCATAATTGTGCAATGAATTTCAAAAATTATTTGCACAGTATTGATTTTTCGCAACAGCGGTCTCGAAGGACCATGTAGGACCAAGTCTGTGCAAATCGTGACTGGCAACGAATAAGTTTATTGTGGTTTTAGTGGCAGTTTTGCAGCGATGGCTATGAATTGCTTCTCACCTCAAACTGTTTGAGAGCTTCGTGCAAGGTTGCTAAGGAAAGATTGTGCACAGCTAGGAAGCTCTCGGGACTGGGTTGGAACACAAGGCAGCTGTCGTCCGGTGCCAGGCCGAACCAAGGATTTCGTGCCCATGGATTACGGAAGGAACTCACAGGCGTCGCATCTCCCGACGTCGAAAAGCTGAGAAGTTTTGACGATTAATGTCGAATGCCAATTAACAAAAGCGATTGTTGAACTTGCCTCTTATGTGGAATATAATATTTGTAGAGCTTGAAGTTATAAACGATAAAAATCTAATTAATCAAACATAACATTATATGCTTCTTTATGCTAAATTTGTGTCCATATAAGCAAACTGCTGAGTTCCCGATAAGAGTGATAGTAAATAATATAAGATTAATGAAAAGTACTCAGAAGTTATTGTAGCATAATATTCCCGTACGATTCATTCACTCAAGCCACATAAATCATTAAGCTACCGAGTAGCAGCCTAAATATATTAACCAAGAAAAATAATATAAACCAAATATTTCGAATTATACCCTGTTTACCGATCCGATGAATACAAACCTTGATTTATTGTATAACGATATTTTCCAATGATCACCGGACTTGGAATCAAATACGTTGGTCAGGAGGGACCTCTCCTTCTTGGAGTATACATATTGATCCACCATCGCATCACGGAAAGAAATCCTTCCGACATGTGAGGATGAAAACCTCAAATCCCAGAGCTGTAATTCTGGATTGTCTTCCATACTCCAGCAATCGAGGATCAGTTCGTGATTGACGTCTGTGAACCTTTGGGTTTAGAGAAATAGTTATTTGTCCTGCAATGAAGTTGGAGCAGAGCTGAAAATCAATCCAATAGAGCAGCAATCGCCACGTCAATGTAATACAGCCTAGAGTGTTGCAAAATATGCCAGTTTAAGTTATTTTTTGATAATTATCCGCACCTGCAATTGAAATAAAATGCTGAATTTCATTGCACGGTGGTTCATTCAATTTAAAAGTTAACACTATTAATTGTCTCCGCATCTCATGCGTCACAAGGGCTGCATGGTGTGACCCCATGTAGCCCTTGGACCCCATGTAGCCATGGAGTGTTTTTGATCAATCAAAAAATATGGAAGCAGCGAGTTGGTTAGAATACGAAACCCGCTCATTAATTGTGAACATTCTAGTACTATATCGGCAAGGTGGCCGGATGGTTGAGAATCGGCGACAAAGCCTATAACAACGCTTTTACCGCTATATTATNTTGCTCCAGAATATTGTAAGAGGATCAAAAACAGTTTACTTTTTGTTTCCATGACTCCGCTTGGTTCAGGTAGCTCGAGACCGCTAGTTTTTAAGTTAATTACTTTAGACAAATGGCCTAATGGCTTACCAGCGCTCCAGCTAATAGACTATCTCGCACTGGAAGTCAAGAATAAACGTCTACGAGAGAGACAGGTGATAAATAATGAGAATTCTGCTGACATAACGACTTAACCTCCCAACTAAGGCCCTTGCTCGTTGGTCTTCACTCTTCCTAAATTAAGTCATGGCTATTGAAGGTCAACTGATAGCCAATCAATGTTTATCAAAAACCAAATCAATTGAGTAGAAAGGTAAGGAAAGAGGTAATTGTTCTATTTTTTTAAATTCTGTGATGCATTTGATTCAAAGCCTAGGATTGTGCCATACCACTGGGCCATAGTACTGAGCGGTCACAAAGATATCTAACGCTTGAGTCAAAGCCATCGACTTCACAGGTCTCTCACTCTTTAAACTATAGAAAGGTTCTAAATCTATTGGAAGTTTGGATGGTACTGGCGCTCGCAAATGGTAAAAGCTGGTGCATGGTTCCGAGGCATCGTAGGCAATGGCGATTTCGCCGCTTGCACTGAGCAGAAGAGAATCCCGTTGGGGATATCGGTCAGCGGATGCAATAAATTGCGCTGTGCTCGTCAGAGTCGGTGGGTTTTGGCAAAATGTATTGGTCGGGACGTTGTGATCAAAGCTGTAGACCCTAAAAAACTGAAAAGAAAGTGTCCAGGTCAGGTATACCTATAATAATTATTTCATGTAATAAAGTACAGAAATTATCTTGACATATTACACATACGAAGAGCAAGAACACATCGTAGACTTCTCTGACGTCAAATAGAGCCTATATAACTTCAAACATGTCAATTTCTCACCGAGTCAGTGTCCTTAGGAACAACTGCGATGAATTTTCCTCCGGAACAGATTTTGAACCTTCTCCTCTGAAAAGAATCGTGTACCATGTGAGTGAGTTCGTTTTTATCTCCTGAACTACCGGTGATCGGACCACTGGCTTTCTTGATCTTCAGTTGCACACCCTGAAAAAGTATACTATTAGTTTGCTATGTCAGATATTGGTATGCATCGCCGCTATCTGCTGCTGGCCTAGCTGTAGCTGAGCTCGGATAAAATGCGCTGGATCTGTACTCTTTCGGTACCACAGCATCGATGAAGCCTCTACACTCGATATCAGCAGAGTTACATGCTCGACTCGGTGAAGATAGACAATTGGCAAATCACACACAAACCCAATTGCCAACAAGCAACGCGAATATCTTGCAAATTATCATTCGCAGATCAACTTACATATTTCATAGACAGAAACGCACTCTGATATTATTAATTATCTCTGAAATGTAATTCATGCTGAATTGGATACTTAGCGATCGCATTACCACTCATAATTTTGCAATATATTTCAAAATGTACTGATTTTGTCGCAACAGCGGTCCCTGAGACCAAGCCTAAATAAATCGTGACTGGTGAACGAATTTGTTCATTGCTGTTTTAGTGGAATTTTTACAGCTATGATTATGAATAGTTTCTCACATCAAACTGTTTGAGAGCGTCGTGCAAGGTCGCGAAGGAAAGATTGTGCACAGCAAGGAAAGTCCTGAGAGTAGGTCGGAACACAAGGCAGCTGTCGTCCGGTGCCAGGCCGAACCAAGTAGTTCGTAAATTTTGTCCCCACGTATCACAGAAGGAACTCACAGGCGTCGCTTCCCCCGACGTCGAGAAGCTGAAAAGTTTCGACGCTTATTATGCAATACAAAGTTACTGGAGCGGTAGTTGCAGTCACATCTTTTGGAGATGTTTATTAGTTATATAACTTATAAAACATAAAAATATATTTAAGAAAAATTAAATCAAACATCGGTTTGTGCTTCGATAAATCAAAATCTAGAAAACTTTGACTCAATGTGAAAATAAATTCAATATATGTACATCTTACGACTACCCATCAAATTAAATGCATCAACGTTAAATCAACGTTCGTGACCTATTTCCCCATTAGAGTGATAGTAAACAATTCAATATTATTGGCGAAAAAAATGCTAGCTTAAGTGTCTGCTGCAAAATATATCCATGCTTTTCATCCTCATAAGCCACACAAATCATTTAGGTGACGAAAAGAAGCCGCAATCTTTTGAACAGATGTCTGAAAAATATTTCTCATGATTGCCTGATAACTGTTCAGTCCCAGTGAATACTAACCTTGATTTGTCATACAGCAATATTTTTCGTTTCTGGTTGTATTTAAAATCATATATATTGGACAGGAGGGCCCTCTCCTTCTTGGAGTATACATATTGCTCAATCGTCGCATCACAGAAACGAATCCTGCCGACATGTGATGACGAAAACCTCATATCCCAGAGCTGTAACTCTGGGGTGTTTATTTCCCTGCCGCAGCAATCGAGGATCAGCTCGTGATCGACGTCCGTGAATCTGCAGGTTTTAAAGAAATACTTAATCATCCCCCCAAAAAAGTTCAAATAGAGCTCTAAACCAAGCCATTCGCACAACGACCGCCATGTCATTGTAATGCAGATGAAAATACCGCAAAGCATATTCGTTTTTAATTTGTCTTTTTTTTATAATTATCTGCATCAAGATATGATATAAAATTCTTAATTTTATTTCAAGGGAGGATAGTAAATCTAACGTTTACACAATTATTCATTTCTACATGGGCTACATGGAAGGGCCGAATGGTTACGACCATTAAGATAAGAACAGCGAGCAATTGGAGTTCGAAACCCGCAATTAGTTGTGAAAATTCTGATCGAAATCGGTGAGGTGGCATGGAAATCAGTATCGGCGGCAGACCAGCATGGCCTAATCAAAGCTCTCGCCGATATATTATATCTATAGAATTATCATAATGCTCATTTTTCACGTTTTACGTGAAAAGTTGTTTATAGTAAATCGGCTGCCTCTTTCGAAAAACTTTATGTGTCTTGAAATTCTTTCATTAATAAAGGGTATATTACCAAAAAGACAACAGCACTCACTCGAACATTTGTCCATACACTTTTAATCTGATCCGTGGCAGGGTGTGGACGACTCGGCGAGTCCGCGGGTCCAAAACCTCAAGCAAGCCGTCCTGGACCCGCACCAACCGCGAGCTGGAAAAAGCTTTGATTTATTAAAGATATGGCGGCTGATATTCGGCGTTGACGAAGGAAACGTAAATTTAAACATAAGCGACATTCGAACCGCTTTTCTTTCTTTGACTCAAAAAATTAACATGAACAAAAATATTTTATTCAAGCAATCAGATTACCGGAAAATTATTTTCAAGTGCTGAAACCAAGAGTAAAACAAGAAAAAATTTAGCGTATTTTTGATTACAGAATTGTCAATTTAAAAACAAAGAGACTGTTGGTAACATCCACGTATGCATATCTTTAACGGTAAAATAATATTTATAGTACTTTCGATAATAATAAGAGACAATTGGTCACAATGAGGCTGTTTACAAAGTCCTAGAATAAAACAAAACTTCTTACAAATGTTAATGTTATAAAAACGCACCCATTGTCATTGAATTTCATTTTAAGTGTGTAGCTACCGTCTAACACTTCGGTCTCAAACACCACCATACTCTTGCACATGCGCAGCTCCATTTCTCGTATGAACTGCAAGCGATCTCCTGAGCTCCAACTTCTGCTGATCAGTTTTTGGATCGTCGTGCTTCCACTCATATTGCACAAATCACCCATTAAAAAAACGGAATCTTGTATCGAGCTTTTCAAAGGGTTGATTCTTTTATAAATTGAACGTAAAATCCACAACCACAATGGAACACCAATAATAACTTGAGTTTTGCCCACGCTCCACGTGTGTTTGAGAGGAGCGACTTGCGCACGAGACCTCGACTGCTAGAAAAATGAAACGGTCGGTCTAGTTGGGCCTAAAGCCCTAAACAAACGTTCCACAACGGCTGGCCTGCCATGAAAAACATGAGAGAGCATTTAGCATTCCAAGTTTTGGGTCGTCTTTTAGTTCCGAGGTTTATATGAAGATGTTCGACAAAATGAAATGACACGTTCTTCCTAATTGTTTCTCAACTTATCTAAGCCGTGAAATTAAAATAATTTAAATTGAACCAACCTTCCAAAATGTCCTCAAAGTTGATTTAATCGCTATATCGGCAGTTTATAATTATACAAATATACGCTGGTAATTTTAATATTCTTAAAAGATATCTGATTGTTTCAAAATGTTTGTGAAAATAGATTAGAGTTATAAATGCCTGAGTTTCAGATTTACTAATTTGGGAAATAACACAATAAAACTAATATATTGCTCTCTGTTTGCATTGTTGCACCATCCCAGTCACTGTCTGCTAGGATCACTGCAAGCTGAGAAGCACTGAGTTCGCATTCTAAGTTTTGGGAGTTCCCGCAGGCGGGCCAGGATCTTGGAAGCCCTCTTTTTGGGGAAGAGACATGACTCGGAAGCGGATGGTTTGCTTCGGCTACTACTCTTCGCTTCACGACCTTCACTTCACATGTACACGACACTACACATCACTTTACGACACTACACTTCACTTTACGACACCACACCTCACTTCACGACACTACACTTCAATACACAGCTACCCGTTTTCTGGGCTCTGCGTCACAACCGGCTTTTTAAGAGTTACACACCACACGTCTTACTTCAACGAGTGACCAAACGAAAACCTTACTCTGACTATATAAGAAAGAGGCGCAGCTCTCAAAATTAGCTACCTTAAATGTTACGTCTATCACAAAGTTTTCCGCGGTGCTATCTGTTCCCATTGTTCTAGGTTTTGCACCACATTTTCCTTATATTTTACTGATGGTCTTATTTTGATGTGCTTGCTGAGTTATTTGTTTATTTAGGGTGCATGCTTTTGTCGCCTCATTTCGAACACTTTGGCAGGCTCATCAGGCTTTGTCAGTTACCTCTGAAAGAATTATGAGCTAAAATTGAAACTTATCTTGACCAAAACCTTAAATTACTATTAAACTCTGGTTGGCGGGTAACGTTAAACCTTAACTTGACTTTAAGCTATACATTAACTGAAGTGCCAAGGTGTTCAATCTTCGTGACGGATAGTAACTTGCGGAACAGTGGCGACCAATTAAATTGTTAACGGTTGCGGTTTGCGAACAAATAAATGCATCCGCGATCAAATTTACGTATGGCAAATAACATATTACTATTAAACTTAACTTCTAAAAACACTCTACAAGTGCACTTATTTTTTATTTAATAAGGTGAGCTCTATTTGAAATAAAATTGTTACATTGAATCTAATAATTGCTCAAGATTGAGCGCGTTCTATAGAGTCAGCGTGGTTTAACCTTTTGCGTTTCTTCTCCCAGTATTAACTTCATCTAACTTCAAGTCTCGGCCCAATAAGCTAACCTGGACTTTTTTTCGATTAGGATTACGTCCCCGGAAATAAATACATGTGCGATAAGAACTACAATAAATCTGTTTCAACGTAATTAATCATTACTTGTTCAATCCTTACCCCCTCATGCAGGAGGGACTTCTGACGCATGTCTGTGCTCGTCAGAAGTCCTATGGGATCTCGCGCTCCTATAGGGGGATTGTTCCCGAGCGCCCCACCGCTGAGCTCGCGGTGTCTGACTGCAGGTCTCAGTTGTGGGGTTAAGTAATTATGTAGGTAGGATTTCTTGCATTTCCCTTCTCTGTCTCTCTCGTGCGGGCGGCCGACGTCCCGTGTAAGCGACCTCTTGTTAGAGTGTCTTCGTTTCTGTTGTTTTTCACCTGTCCCTCCTTGTCACTTTGCCTCTTTGAAATGCTAACATAGCTTCCTTCGAGCCAGCTTCAGTGGGCTGGACAACTGATCGAGACCTTCCGAATAATTGAGACCTTCCGCCTCGCTGGCGATGTAAACTTTTGACCACCGGTGCGAAATAGCTTGAAAGCTGAAGCGCTAGTAAACCATTTTACTACTCACTTACTTACTTTGTTCAATCCTTAAAAACTTTTTTCGATAGACTTCTAGAAGAGGGTTTCCTCTGGCGTAGGGAGAAAATTCCCTACACTTATATGCAGCTGTTGTAAAATATCTCACGTGTCCGACCTGTTGGATAAAACTTTGAATTAGTAGTTATTTCTGCAGCTGAATATTAACTTTACCAGTACATTTATAAACCGAATACACAATAAAAGTAGTTTAGAACATTTTTTTTGCAGGTATAATACTCCAAATTTCCACGTCTTCTCTGTGAATGTCACTCATTAACTCGCAAATGGTTGACGCATCCTTATTTAATACAAAGAAAAGCGAAAAGACAGCAAAAATACTAATCAGTTAAAGAAACATAGTGAACACGTACCTTATATCCAAGACGTCTATGAAGTCTTGGAATAGTAGATTATAATCGTTCAATTTTTTTCTGAAAATCCTCTCAATGTGGCTGCTTTGTATGCTATTAGTCCGATATAAATCGAGTCACATGTAGCCGAGGTATGAATGTTCAGATAAAATACAGGGTTTTTTATATGATGGTCTGTTTAATAAATTCGTATATATTTGATCTCTAAGTGTAGATTCACAATGAATCATTCATACACTAATAGATAGAGAAAGATTCAAACTTTTTTTACATATATAAAAATGTCCAATATGTCTCCCTTGTGCCACACGGCAAACATTTAAAATGACCAGAAGTTACCCTTTGAACCAGAAGTGTAAGGAAAGATCTTCATTTCAAAGGGGGAAATGAAGATCAGGCATAAAAGAAACATATTGAACACATATAACTTGATATAAGTATGTAAAAAATTTAATCTTCTTCTTTTCATTTGTGTGTGATTTATTCATTTCGAATTTATTAAATTGGATTCATCATTCAAAATAATCCCATATAATTTCGATCTATAAAGTTGGTTTTCTGGAACGCTTAGCCTGATAAATTCATGTCAAGATTAACAAGCAAAGCCCCAGCTGCCTCAGCGCTCCAGTATAAAAAAATCTGATTATATTCCCTTAATAAACTCACAACCATGAGTCTCTTGCTAGGAGCTTGGCTTCATGGAAGGCGCGACATTCACTCATCTGCTAAAGAATCACGTAGCATTAAATTTGACTTTTGTCGAGGAGAGCCAAAAACAAAATGAAGTACGAGCTTTAAATTTAGTAAGGCTGCATAACTTTATAACGTAACAATTTTACTTGGAGTAGTTTTAGTTGAACATAATATACGTTTAAAAATAACTTTTAAAGACAACACTTCCAAAGAATCCAGTGTTTGCTAGACGGAAAACAGGCCGAAGTGAAATGTTCTATGGGTGCCTTCTCCCTCCTTCACCAGGGCATTCCTTCATTGCCTATGGCCCAAGTCAATTAGCTCACGATTCAATGCAGAAAACTCCAAATTTGTGTACGCCGAAAGAAGGTAACAGCGAACAAAGCTACACCACAATGGAGAGCGATGACACACAAGATTATTTACAAAAGTAGTATTGGGCACACTCACATCTTCAGTACAAAGCCCATAGAAGCAGTATGTCTTTTCGAGGAATAGAGAATACAGTTTTAGAATATAGCGTTGATTAGGCCGTGAGACCTGACGCCGATTCTCAACATCACGGAACATATGTACACCGCTTGTTGCGGTCTCGAACACTCAACTCCCTGCTCCAATTTTGCTGTGCTTGACCGCCCGGCCTCCTCGCCGATTATTCTGACAAGAAACTGGCGCAGATGGCAGTGATCAAACCCGCACTTATATCATAGTGTTGTCGGCACTGAAAAATAAACCTGGTGTTTCCTGTCGCCGATTCTTGTACTTTCCGTGACTTGTTCACAGGGGATCTAAAAACAGGCCATTTGACCTGAACTTTAGAAAAAAATCTATAGAACTGACACTTATTTGCTCCAAGCTTGGTATTCTGGAACTTTAACCACATTGCCACTCTGCCTGAGGACAACTCCCAAGCGCTAACATAAGTAGAGTATAGATGCTGGAATTTTCAGACAAATATATTTGGAAGTTTGATAGATAATTTTAATCTAACGCATAAATGTCATGTTGCTGAGCTTACATACAGATATAGAACATTTGAGGTATAAAAATTGGGCATTTTAACGACAATTGCCAAATATGATGGTTTTAAGAGCGAGCGCGCATATTAGCCTTCTATACGAAAGCAATGGTAAGCTAGAGTGCTGTTATTTTTCATATGCTGTTCTTATGCGTCAAGGTCATGTTTGATATCTCTGGTTTCTCCTCCAAGTCTATAATGAATTTATTTTATACGGTTTATTGTATGTCTCTGAGGGTGAACGACCGTCATGAGATTTCATTGTACGACATTTATGAGTAACAATATGATATATGCCTAAATTTTTGGATGAATTGATCATTTTTAAATGAAAAAATGTGTAAAGTTTTAATTATTATTCCATTAAATACTTCGACGTGTGGTATAGAGGCGATATATAATTCGAATATTTACCTAAAAAATACATTCAAAGTTTTACTCTTTATTTTCTGTTATTTTCAACCATGCTCATTCTAATGACGGAAAGTAAAGTGAAGATTTCAAACTACCATGAAAATACAGGAATGAGCCGTGGACAGTGATGGTAAGAGAAAATAACGTAAATAAAAATGACGGTGTTATTTCTAGTCGGTGACTACAGTACACTTTTTTCGTTACCTTATTGTTTATTTGTCCTCACTTTATAACTATCTTGATGATTACGAAATATACCATGCAATATTTTAGCTGTGTGCCTGATGTTCCTTGTGAGTGACACGTATATACGGTATTGTTTTACTTCTGGTGAAGAATGTTCCCCCAAGGGACACGTTATATATTTTTTGATGATGCAATGAAATTTGAAAATGGAATAAATATGGCGCTATTGCATTGCAAATGACTCGAAAACGATGAAATAAAAATAATTTCTTCATGATTTCGTATTTCTGGCGGTAGAGGGTTAGGACGGTTAGGAACTTGTGATATCAGACATCTCACGTACACAATGTTTAGCTCGTGAAAATTGTTTAGATTTTGCCAATGCAAGTTTAAAAATCGGCCTGAAAAATGCCGGTCGTTTCTCATTTGCCAGGGGCCCACATGCATCACTAAAGAATATATGCTTCAGTCACAAGCATACGAGTATACCGTATCCTGATATATTCTGGTGCGTGCCACTTTTACATTAGGTCTGAATTTATATTCCATTAGCTGATGGTTCTTCCTGATAATATGTTATCTCCTTCGGGATTTATAAGTAGGAATTTTCAAGCTGTAACCACATCGAAATTGGGATAACCGGATGTCATGAAAGTAATATTAATGATTGTATGTTAAGGTCGGACGATCTACGGCTTTATTGTGAGTAACTAGTCCAGTCAGAAAAGTAGCTGAATTGGGTGAAGAAGTTTATCAGTGTTAGCCTTCGTCTATTGTAAAGCATATAAACGCATTCATCTGCCATTACATCGGGGCTACAGCGTGTCAATGCATTTTGAGCAAACAAATTATAAAATATATAATTTTCAAATGGCTTGCTCGATATGGCAAGAACGGTTTTGCTCGAAAGAGGAGGTCCAAAACTGTCAACTTTTACGAGTGAAGCGGGTGAGTAATTTAATTCTATGTTCTACTGCATAAAATAAATTTGTCAGTGCATAATTGACGTATAATTTGAGAGAGTAAATAATCTACGTATGGAAAATATTTGACGTAAATATCTTATGCTGTTAGCCTATCGAAATAGTCACTCGAACAAAAATGATTCATTTCTTCAAGAATGAGGTTTTTTGATGAAATTAAATGTTGCTAACATGCTGTTTATTTTAATTTGATGAAAAGTATTTTATTTACCTCTGAAAAGCTCATGACTCTCAATTCCGGTAAAATGCGCGTATATGGACAGACGCGTTCAGTCAGGAAGCTCCTGTTTAACTGACGGGGCTGGTAGGTTGGCAGCTGAAGACTGAAGTAATATGAATAAAACTAAACCTTTTCACAAACAGACATTTTTGTCATAGTTTTAACTTGAATTGACATTATGTAATTATTGGATAAAATCTATCCTTAAGTATTTTAGACTTAGCTGTGCTGAAATTTTTTCAGTTTCATGGAACCACTACGAGTACGGTAGAACATGGATTGTAGCCTTGTAGGTAGCCTCATTTGTAGGTATATCAATACCTAATTTTAATTTTTAACACATAGCTAGCCTACTGTCAATGCAGAGACTTTCTTAGACTCTTCCTACAGTTCATTTTTGAGTAATATAAGTACTATTAAGTAGACCAGTGAAGTATCATGGACACAAGTATCATGAAGTTGTTCTTAACTTCTTACATAGGCCTACGGTAGCCTATATCATTGGTTTAAATCTTTCTAAATAGGAGATTAAAAATGAACTGATTCTAAAAAATCTGTGGTTTAGAATCAATATAATTATATATATTTCAATGTATATACGTTTTAGTGGTGTAACTACTGTTCAAAAAACTAATGTTTAGTGTTTATAATGCAAGATATTAATTTAATATAAACTATATATATATATATTTTCATATATTTCAGTATCAATATATATATATATATATTATATATATTCAATCAATATATTTATTTTCATATATTTCAATGTTTGTGGTTTAGGTTATAATTGCTGATTAGCCTTGTTATAAAATTATTTTAAGATTTCCTACCAATTTTGTCCCTTTCAAGTGTCAATTCAATATACCATCATTCATTCATTCATATTATTCATATATGTAAACTGTAAAATGTGCAACATTGAAGCAGTTGAACAGTTGATTCAATAATGGAATCTTTGAGAATAAATTGTAAATTTCAAGTTTACCTTGTGTAAATGTTGGTGGTTTGTTCCACATGATGAGTACTTTAAAGCATAGAAGGCATGGTTCAACAAAAAATTCTCTGTTCCATGTTGATCTACCTTCTCAATCTCAGCAATATGAAGAGGTAAGGTTTACATGGTCAGTTGTTATTAGTCAAATGTTAATAGTCTCAGGTTGGTGTATGAGTTATCAGGTAGGAAGTATCAAGTATGGTTTATAAATTCTTATCTGTAAGACTAACTTTATTGGAAGACCAAAACTTCCATAAGTAATCTAAATGCATGTTTAATCTGAAATATTAAGCTTGAACTTGTGGCTTCTGTCTGATTATCCATCATGACAATTGACAAATTTCTTGTTTATATATATAATCATATATTAAATTGTACATATATTTTATCAAAAGTTTTTTTTTTCAGAGAGGAGTTGACATTCCTGAAGAAGAGCCAGTCACTCAGCCTGACCTTTTTCCTGGTAAGCATTTATTGAATATCATTTAATTTATTATTGGTAAAGGAAATTCATAACAAGTCAAACCAATAATATCCTATGTTTTGAAATTTATATCTTTCCTGAATTTGACTTGGCTGGAAAGACTAAATTACAGCAAGAGTGCCTCAAATTTTCTGATAGATATTTTCTTTTGCTCCATCATTTAATTGGTTTCCAGTAAAAATATTTAACTAGATTGATTTTTACCCTGTGCTATTTGGCTTAAGTGAATTAACTATAACTGTTTTGTTGGGACTAGGCATTTTTAATTACTTTCTCCAGTAATAGATTTGTTCAAGAGCCTCTTATCTCTGATAATTTTTCTTTGCACAGGTGAAGTTGTTATTGCATCTGCGGATAACGTTTTGAAATTCTCGCCCGGAGGAGAGCAAAACACAGGAATATCTGGAACATTATTCATTACAAACTTGAGGCTTGCTCTGCTCACTACATTGCCTCCCACATATCAAGTAAGTTATTCCTAACATTTATTATTTTTCTGAGCTGTCTGCTGATCAGACAGGAATTTTGTGACAAGTTTTGTGCGAGTCTAACTGATTAATAATGTTATACTATTCTTTCAGAAGAATTTAGAAAAAACTGTCCAGACTGGAACTACCTACTCAATTGAATGAAATTGATGAACATAAATTTAAGAATATTTTGAGTTGTACCTGGATATATAAATATTATCTGTCAATTTTATTCGATATTTTACAAAATATTTTCAATAAATTTTGTACGTAATAATTTGTCAAAAATAATGCATTATAAAACTTTTTCTTCAATACTTAATTACACAACAATTCAGGCAAGCTAAGTATTATATGCTCGTCATGAGCATGATAGTTTTATTATGAATTTTTTTATTTATACTGACAATTTTCATGTGGATTTACAGGAAGAGGCATTGCACCATCTCTCATTAAGTCACCTTTTCCTTGGAGCTCACGATGTCGAGCTGTGCCTTGTATCATCCGTGTGTTTACTGGATGAGCAGAACCAACGCAGGAAGACATTACTGCCTGAACACTTTCTCCCTGAGAAAGTTCCAGGCATTCAAGTTATATTAAAGGTATGACATTCTTTTGATACATGTGTTTTAATTGTGTAACTGCGGTGCAGTACGTTTTAGTGGTGTAACCTCTGTTCAAAAAACTAATGTTTAATGTTTATAAAACAAGATATTATTTTTTAACTAAAATAAACTTGTTTGTGCAGAATTTTCGGGTATTGAACTTCAGTTTCAAGTTTAGTCCATATGGAGAAGATGGCAAAGTCATTCGTGCATTGCTGCACCACACCAATCCTTCAAATGTGGATCTCCTTTTCCTGACGCCAGGAACTCCTCCTCCCAACACCTTCATCCCTACATTCCGGTACTGTCAATGAGGACACCCTGGCTTGTTACAGTCTTTGATGACAGCTGCTCTCATTACTGTAAATAAGAAATGTTCCTCCTTTATGAATGTTCCTCCTTTAGGTTTTTACTTAAGAATTTGGTTGATTCAAACACAATTCGGAATTAAGTGGAAATAATCCCATTGAATTAGTAGAATTTTTTATTTCAATTGTATTACAGAACATATAATGACTGGATGTCAGAACTGGAACGAACTGGCTGTCCAAACTGGCGGGTCACTCACCATAATGAGAACTACAATCTCAGCGCCACGTAAGACTTTCTTCTTTATTTACAAGCATATTGATTTTCTTGGAGTGTTCCAGAACTGGCAGGGGTTAATTGGAACTTCCTCTCTCGAAATTCTCATATCTGATTTATCTTTTATTATGATTTGAAGGCCAGTTTGAATGCATATTTTTTATTTGTTCATGTATATTTATTTATTAAATAATACATGAAAAAATGTAAAATTTTTACTTGGACAATTTTTTTGCAGTTGAATTTTTTTTTAATTTTCTATACATTTTATTTAAATTTAAACTAGTGGGTTCAGGGACGTTCTACAGGTAACGACCTATGTACAAATAGCAGCCAATTTCTCGCCTGTGATTGGTATTGGTGGGTTTATCCTCAAATGCCACCAGCGATTTGCTGAAGGAGTTACAAAGTTGTAACTATTTTTCAAAGTATGGTCGCTGGTGTGTACAAAACAACTATCTACATCAGGTACCCTCCGGTGATGGTGGTGCCCAGCAGCATGGTGGATAAGGACCTGGAGAAAGCTGGTCACTTTTTCAGGGAGTCGCGCCCCCTGCTGTGGCTCTGGGGGGCGCCTGGGGGAGCGGCCCTTGTCGTCATGGCTCAAATCTCCCCAAACATTCCAGACACGTAAGTCAATACTCCCTTGTTATTTGTCGATTGAATTATTAAAAGCTATATGCAGTTTTTTTTTTTGTTATGGCTCAAGCCTTCACAAGCATTCCCGACACTACATACTTCCTTGCAATGTCATCAGTAAAATTAAACTATTCATCAAAGGCTATATGCAGTTTTTTTCGTAATAGCATAAGTCTAATCGAAATTTTACAACTTGTCAGTCTATATCTTCTAGCAGTTGGTTGTTAGAAAATTAGAGTACCACTTCTTTGGGCGGCATGCAGCTCTTTTAGTCACGGCCCAAGTCTCCTCAAACATTTCTGACATTTCAGTCTTCACTCATCTACAGTCAGTTCGTTAAAAAATAAATGAATTACTTATATTTCTAAGGCAGTCTAATCATTATTCGTTTTGTAATGATTTGTTTCACCTCAAATATTTATATTCAAGTTTAGTGACAGAGGCACCCTCCTATTTTCTGTGGTAATTGAACTCCCTGAGTTAGATATCGTTTAGCTTGACTGTTCAAATTGTGTGTCATGTCACTTGAAGGAAAAAAGTTAATATAAGGTTACCACTTTGTTGTCGGAGTGTCCAATATGATTTAATTTTTGTTACGGCCTCTTATGCCCGTGTAAAACGGGTTACATGTCTCGAATTAGGCTCAGAAATTGAAGGCAAACGAGAATCTTACTGCTGGACAACAAATATTTTGGTTGCTACATATGCAACCTCGGAATCATTACGTCCACGCTGAACTATTGCTTCTCTGAACCAAGCTTAGCTATCACTTAAGTGTACCAAGTTAACTGTACTACTTAGCTACACGTATTTCTTATACAAACTTTGTGCCCAGAACAACTCGCCCGTTGTACTTAACTAAACGCAAATTGTAGGCCATTTACTTTTAGGACAGAAAGTAAATCATGAATTGCTCTGTCCCTTTTGTTGTAGATTTACAAATTATTGTTTTCAACATCCCTCAGAATTTTTCGTATGACTGTAGCCATAGTTGAAAAAAAACTTCCGTGAAGTTAGAAAGCATAATCAAGATGCTAAAAGTTATAGAAATAAAATTTTTAAACCAAAAAAGTCGAGTTGTACGTTGAATCTTGCTTATTTTTTCTAGGATGTCTCTGAATCCTCGCAGTTTTGGCCAGTTAAAGATGAGCAAACTTGAAGATGAAGCTAAGTGAGTAGTTTTGTTGTTTGCTTTGGACGCCGACTCACACGAGTGGACAAAAGGGTTCGCATGACGACAAGTATACTTCACCTAACTTTCAAACTGCCGGCAAACAAAGCTCTGCGCTCTTCACTAACTCTAATTGATGCTCTCTTAACGTACTTTCGGTTTGCACATTCACATTAGATGAAGCATGAGTCAGAATGACACACTTGAGCAAAATAAGATCTCATTGAATAGATGTATTTTAGAGACCTTTTTGTATTAATTTTTGCTCAATAATGTGTCGTCCTGGTTCACATATTACTATGACTGCACGCTTATGGTGCGTGAGGTTGATTTGATTTATATAAATTGGAAGTTAATTTGAACATCTTCCAACACACATGCTCGGGGAAATTTCAACATTATTTTGGATATCACATTATTTCATCTTATTTTTCTGCTTTCTCCTTTTTTTACGATTATCTCGTTTAAACTGGAAACTCTTTCACGTGTATTTATCCTAATTTTACAAATTATATTTCTTGTCATAGTGATGGTCACGTTGCAGAATACTATGGCCACTTTAGAATTATGTAGCTAATGGAAATCTTGAATATATGACAAGCAGTTGCATCAAGGATGTCAACATTCATGAGGTTATTATTTGTTAGAATCACCTATACTTTTTTAGTCCTTGTATAAAATACTCATCCCAGGGTGAAGTTGTCGTAGGCATCAAAATTTTAGGAAATGCTGCAATATTGCTAATTCTATTAACATCTTACTACTCGCGTTGGAGTTGGAGTGTCTTGAAAGTGTGCATTAATTTTCATATTTTTCTCCGTAATTTTTCCTGCTGCTAATTTTCCTCTTTTTTTTGCCTCTACAAAAACTACTGAATTTCTGACATAGGCTTTTGTTCCAGGCGTGTTTCTTCATTAACAAGATTCTGTTCTACAACTTATCTTCTTGTAAATTAATATTGCTGCTTGAATTTGCTCGAATTTTGTGCTTAGGGATAATTTTTTGGATGCCCACAAACTTTACTCAAAGTTGAGTTGCCGCGGCTGAGAAAGTTCACTAAACTCGGCTTGAGTGAGTGAAAGCTGAATATTGTTTGCAAGTCAAACTTCTTAAATTTAGTCCAGTTTGAATGAGAATGACTAATCACGGATAACGTTTCTTGAAAGTTTTCATTAACTTTTGAATAATATCTATTCATGTTTTTTTAATGTGAAAGAATTTACACAAATTTTTTGCTTTTTATAAATAACATGTCTTTAGTTCAAGGCCTGCATTTAAAGTTCATACTTACTTGAGGTAGAAACACAAAAAAACTTCTCTCTTTCCTTGTTTCTGTTATTCTGTCAGTTTCAAAGTCATTCAAAATAATTTGAGGCAAAATTATGCTAAATAACATTGAATACGTTCACTGCGATAATTAATCAAAATTAACTTTTTCCATGCCATGTCCTTCACTCGCTTATTAAGTTAATTCATAATGTAACCATGTTCAGAATTAATAAAAGTTTACCTATGGAACTGTATAGTAGCGAGCTAGTGAGTGAAATAGTAATATATAACATACTAATGTTTAGTTACCTTATCTTCAGGGCGATCGAGAACTCTGTGATAAAAGCCGTCTTCCGGAGCAACTCGGAGTTCCAGGAGTGCCCTGAAATTATCAATCTGGAGAAGGAGCTTCCGCAGCCTGGTGATCTGCAGGTGGCCTGTAGCAGGCTGCGTGCCCTGCATTTACCTGGTCAGAGACATACCGCTTTTAATGAACTTTTTGAGAAATTTTCAATTATTGAAATCTCCTGCCTTGCTGGTCATGTTAATTTTCGACCTCTGGTACAAAGTAGCTTGTTAGCTGAAGCTCTAGCAAACCATCCTACTAATAGTACTACTTAGTCTTCCATTTGATGATTATTCCAAGAGTAATTACTGAATAAGATATATATTGAACCATTTTGTTTCTGAAGATAGGTTATTTGGCCCTCTTTTGATATGTTCGTTACCACAGACGGTGCGAGTGCGAGCTCTTACTTATCGCGCTTCGAGAGCAGCAAGTGGCTGAGCTACGTCAGTCGTACCCTGGAAGTGGCATGTAGAGCGGCTCAGCTCATCACGGAGCACAACAGAAGCGTCATACTCCAGGGTATGCACCACAGCAAACATTCGTAATTCATTGAGTAAAAATGCTGACGGTTTTCTGTGTTGTGGTCGTGATGGGTAAAACTTGAGTTACAGTAACGTTGATAAAGCAGTTATGCACGAACATTGCAGAAGACTGCGTTGTGTGTTACAGAGACAAGATAGTAACAGGTGACTGCGCTGAAGAAGAGCTAGTGCTCGAGATAGTCAGAGATTCAACTGTGATTGGGTTTGCTGAACAGTGGCAGCTGACTGCAAACAGTAACAGCTGACGGTTGCAGACAGTGACAGCTGACTGTAGCAGACAGTAATAGGTGACTTTAGAACGGAACAATATTGGTGCAAGCCAGTAAGAATTATATATAATGTTGCAGAGGACTGTGGTCGTGACGGAGCGTGCGTGGTGAGCACGCTGGTGGAGGTGCTGTGTGATCCGTTCGCGCGCACCGTGCGTGGCTTGCACTGCGCCATCGCCAAGCATTGGGTGGCGCTGGGCCATCCCTTCACTGCGAGGCTCGGCCACACCAAGCGAGAGAAGCACCTGCAGGTAACACGTGCCTTCTTTATGCCGTGATTGCTGTCATGAATGAATTGTTGCTGTGAGTAATGGGTTCTTCATTTGTCAAACGGGTTACGTGTATCATCTACACCTTATGAGTGGATTATGCATTTAGTGAACGGTTTGTGCCGCATGTATTGCTTGCACAGCAAGCGAAAGAACGCCTACGGATCTTGTTTGGCTTGCTTATGCGTTGTTACCTGTGACATATGCTTTTCTCTGTGTAAAATGAGTTGTTTTATGCGCCTTGTGGGCTGTATATACACCTAGTGAGTGGTTTTCGCATTTGTGTTTTGTTTGTGCTGTTTGGATTGCTTGCTCACCAAGCGTGAGAAACACCCACAGGTACCAAGTGCCTTTTTTGCACTATCTGCGTAGCTTCGGCGCCATGTAGGTGGTTTTTGTATCTTGTGAGTTGTTTACGGTATACATTTTGTGAATTCCTGGTTTCTGCTGCTACCGTACCATGAGTTACAGGGACCGTTGCCGTATCGTGAGTTGCAGGGACCGTTACCGTGTCGTGTGTTACAGGGACCGTGCTGGCTGCTGCTGCTGGACTGTCTCCATCAGGTGTGCGTGCAGCAGCCTCACCTCCTGGAGTACACGCCGTGCTACCTCGCCGCCCTCTGGAGCGCCGCCCACTGCCCTCTGTACACCACCTGTCTCTTTGACTGCACCAACAGCCGCCACTCCACCATCTCGGTGAGTGCTGCTCTCACCAGCAGCCGCCACTCCACCATCTCGGTGAGTGCTGCTCTCACCAACAGCCGCCACTCCACCATCTCGGTGAGTGCTGCTCTCACCAGCAGCCGCCACTCCACCATCTCGGTGAGTGCTGATCTCACCAACGGCCGCTAAACCATCCATAACCCCTGTACTTTTTTCTAAGCAGTTATTCTATTAGATTTTCATTCATATTTTTTGTATGGATTGATTGATTTGTTTCTTAATTAAAACGGTACTACTTTTTTGAGGAAAGTATTACTTCACTTTCTTCCACTTGAACAAGTTCGCTGATTTCGGTTCAATGGCGCAATTAATTATCTCTGTTTTATCGTAATCTGTTTAAGAGTTATTGTGAAAACGCAATTTCCTCTCAAGGAATTGTCACTCTTCCTCCCCGATCTGAAGCGTTAATAACTGAAATTACTCACAAACTCGTCCTTCCCCTGCACTCTATTCGCTTTCCATAAATTTGATCTTATTTATGTTTTTTCAGAGACTCCAGCTGCAAAATATAGAAATATCAGAGCTGTGGGAGCTATGGTGCTGGTGGGCGTCCTGTAAGTCACAATCTCCCGCCACTAACTCGGTTGGTGATGGCGCCTCTCAGGGCCTCAGGAACTCTTCATCCAAGTCCAGCAATGGCGCCGCGAACTCAAGTAATTCACGATCCAGTTCTTCTTATACAACCACGCGCACCGCCGAGACTAGTTTTACTACCAAGAACTGTAATCACTCTTCTACGGACACGGGATCGTCAAGATCGTCGTCTACAGAGTGCAGCAAATCTTGTATTATTGCTCGTCGCCATTTTATATCGCCTCTTTTTGTACAAGGTTTACTCAATTCGCTCCTAAGTCCGGGGGCGTTGGACAGGATACGAGATAAGTTTTCAGTGGCGCATCACACATGGGGACAAATACAGCGTCTTCTTTCCCCCAGTGTTTGTCATCTTCCCTATGACGGGAGCCAGGCACCTGCACCCGTGCGTGGGTGCTCCCCCAACACGGTCACCAGACCCCCCACCAGGAGTCGGTTGCCCCCGCCTGTTTATGTCAATTATTCGGTTCCTCGTCTCACGGTTTGGGTGGAACTTTTTGGTCGGTGGCTACCCGAGACGGACGTGTCGTGTGATGGCGTTCCTCTGTCGTCTGCTCTCCACTCTCAGAAACGCTGCATTTTACGTCCTGAAAATCCCCACCTGCTCTTCTGGGACGACATCTACGCAATCTATGACGTCATTAAAGGATACGTAGATATAACTGCTGACGGGATTACGAGAGACAGACGGCAGGAATACGCTTCTTAGTCTCACAGCTTCCATGAGCTCTTCCATGGCTTCGCTCTGATAAATGAATGGGTCATATTGTCCAATTAGTGCAACACTTTCTAACCCAGAGCCCGAGCGGAGAGATTGGACGTAGCACTGACACGCTCTTTTGCTGGGCCAAATTGTTCAGGATGACCCACATAGGGCAGGAAGTGCGTCGCTATTGAGACAAAGTCGCACTCATTTTTCTGAGTGCTGTCTAAGGTGAATCAATGTCTTGTTTGTTTACTTTCATACGGTCGGTGCTTGTGATAATTGAGCTTCTTAGGCTTTTTCTAGTGAACTTCCTAGACTTCCAACAGCGTTTACATTATAAGCTTTAAACTCAGATTCTTTGACTCCGAGATTTTCTGCGGTAGAAGCGTTGATATTGTGCATGTTTATGCTACGCGGAATGAACTTCTGTGTGGATGTTCCAGAACCCGTGTATAAAAGTTGTGTATTATTTTGATTATTCCATTGAAGAATTCGTTTCAGAAGCGACTTATATGCATCTTATATTTACTGCACCGTTCACTGCTTCCCATATTCACTGATCGCTCACGGTCACTGCAGACTGCAATTAACTTAGTGACGGTATTTTTATGTTACAAAATTCAACTAAATCAACACTTTTTCGCTTTGTTCCAAACGAATTTTCCATGCTTCTTTATCTCTGCACGTTACTGTTGAATCCAACAGACGAACCGCTTAAGTTTATTCCTGTTCATCAGGAATGTAATCATCCGTACCGCTAATTAATCATTTTTTGAAGATGTTTTTTTAGGATATTAAAATTAATGGTATTTGAATTTTTTTCAATTTGAGGAGCAGTTGTCTTGAAAATTTCGTTCAATCTGTTTGATATTTGGGCACCACAAGCCCGAGCCCCAGGATAACCTTGCAAGCCAATGTTCCTTTAGTAATGTTTAACTGCACCTTAATCGTTTTTTATATTAGTGTAGGTGATACGAACGCATGGTGAGAGCCATGATAGTGAGCAAGTATTATGACGGTGGTGATTAATGGTGACGTTTGCAGGGTGGTGCACCATAGCAATGGTGCTGTGGTGGTGCACGCAATGCCAGCTCTTCGTTGTTTTTCTTGTGCACACAGGCTTCACGTATCATAGTCATGTTTGTTAAGAATATTAACTTATTCCTGTCTTATTATTACAATTATAGAACGAGAATTGAGATTGTTAGTGCTGATTACCCATGTCATGTTGATCAATTTTGTTGCTTAATTTCTCAATTAATAATTTTATCTCTTGTTGAGATGATCTTATTGAAGGGTTTTAAATGTATTTACATTGATAATATGTACCACCAAATTAGAATAAAAATTGACTACAAATCCTGTAACTACTGATAAAACCATATGTTATACTTGCCTTCATTAGGCACAAATTGGTTCGTTTAGTATAGCGGCCTTCGATTGTATGCACTTGTTTCTGATTTCATTGTGGCAGTTTTTTTATGATGTTGGGGAATTATAAATAAGCAACTTGTAATAATTACAGGTAAATTTGTACTGATAATAATTGACCTGACGAGAAAATGCATTGTGCTCGCTCCTTTACAGCGGACAAGGTGGTGCCTGCACTTCAATGAATGAAGGTTCATGAATGAACTCAGGTTCATGAATGAACTCAGGTTCTTGAATGAACTCAGTTTCATGGAAGAACTGAGGTTCTTGAATGAACTCAGGTTATTAAATGAACTCAGGTTCATGAATGAACTCAGGTTCTTAAATGAACTCAGGTTCATGAATGAACTCAGGTTCTTAAATGAACTCAGGTTCCTGAAAACTCCTTTGTTACATAATCCAGCTCAGCATCAGGATTAACGAAAAACTTAGAAAACTGATAGAAAAATTCCTATTTAAACGTAAGCACTAATCGTCATTCCCATCTGCATCATTGCCTCGTTTCACGCCACTCACCTAGATTGTCTCGTTTCACTCCGTTTCAGTTGTCGATATTAACAACCTAGAAAATTTATTTTTATTTTATTTGGTATAAGAGGAGTAGAAATGTACAGTCAGGTTTGAAAACCGAATGTGTTAAAATATGAATACCATTGTATGGCTTCACATTATGATTCTTTGAGTTGTTAAATGTTACAAGAAAAGAGTAATTTAAAACTTTCAAGCTCGTTTCATATTTGAAGTTGTTGTAGGCGTCGCAAAATAATTCGTGTCTCAAGTAGATCCTTAGTCAAACTGCTCACAGAGATTCTCATGATGTAAACTACCACTAGCCTGCCTCTGCACTGCCACTACTCTACCACTACCCTGCCTCTGGACAGGCACAGGATTACCACTACCACTACCACTCCGCGGCCGCCACTGGATTACAACCACAGGTCTGCGACTACGGGACGATCACAGGAATACCATTAGACTGCCACTGAACACTGATTAGACTGTCTCATTCGTAATTCATGCCTCTTAACAAATCCGACCTCGTAATTGACCTGACGAGAAAATGCATTGTGCTCGCTCCTTTACAGCGGACAAGGTGGTGCCTGCACTTCAATGAATGAAGGTTCATGAATGAACTCAGCTTCTTGATAACTCCTTTGGTACATAATCCAGCTCACTATCGGAATTAACGGAAAACTTAGAAAAACTGGTAGAAAAATACCTATTTAAAAGTAAGCACTAATCATCATTCCCAACTGCATCATTGTCTCGTTTCACCCCACCCTCCTAGATTGTCTCGTTTCACCCCACCCTCCTAGATTGTCTCGTTTCAGTTGATATTAACAACCTAGACTTTTTTTTATTTGGTATAAAAGCTAAAAATTTATTTGAGTTCTAATTTACAGTGAGGTTTTAAACCGAATGTGTTAGAATATGAATGCTATTGTATAGGTTCGTTCATATTATGATTCTTTGAGTTGTTAAATATTACCAGAACAGAGTAATTTATAACTTGCCAGTTCGTTTCATATTCGAAGTTGTAGGCGTCGCAAAATAATTCATGTCTCAAGTAGATCCTTGCTCAAACTGCTCACAGCGATTCTCATGATGTAAACTACCACTACCCTGCCTCTGCACTACCACTACCCTGCCTCTTTACTAGGTACCTCTTCCCTACCTTTTGTTTGCTACTATTCCACTACCTTGCCTCTGCACTGGCACAGGATTACGACTGGACTACCACTCCGCGACCGCCACCGAACTGCAACCACTGGATTACCACAACTGGTCTGCGACCACTGAACGATCACAGGAATACCATTAGACTGCCACTGAACACTGATTAGACTGTCTCATTCGTAATTCATGCCTCTTAACAAATCCGACCTCGTACTGATTCCAACTTCGTGCCGATTAATATTTCGTGCAGTTTCCTACTTCATTCCTAATCTTACTTAATACAGATTCCTTACTCGTACCTATGCCTACTTCTTCCCAATTGATGCTCTAGACACAAGTATTTTTGTGTATGCATTATCATCACATCAGGAAGCGAGAAGATCATTGTATGTCGAATATTTATCCTGGTTGCTAACTAATTATTTTGAACGTTCATGCACGTTCAGAGTCGGCTGACTTCTGTACCAAATACCTAGAACATAAGTCTTCTATTTATGAGTAAGCTAAAAATTTGTTGAGAAATTGTGTCTTTAGTTATTAATAAAGAATGTCTTGTATTTATTCTGTATTATGTTTCGTTTTATGTATTGGTGGAAGCTCGAACTTACTGTACCAAAATGTGAAGCTTATCACTACATCTTTTGTCCATGTATCCCACTGGGCATCTAACGTTAAAATTACGTTAATTAAATGTTTTTTTAAACGAAATCTACTTGTAATCAACGTTTTTTTTTTCAACGTCATTTGCCTGGAGGGTAGTTTTTAGTTTTTTACATTATTTTTAGAAGCAGAATTGGAACTATCAAACCGTGTACATTTAATTTCACTATTCTGCAAGCTTTCCCATTACTGCTTTAATTGCACCGAAGTATTAACACGATGCCTGCATTAAATTTAATGTACCCAGCAAACGTTGCAGTTACGCTTCATCATTTTTTTACTTGAATTGTTAGCATTCACAATGGCCAGCAACTGTGCACGAAATTCGCTTACGATGTGCAAGATCTTTACGTGACGTCATTGCATTCAGTCTTTTTGAAGGGAGATTTGTCTTTATTTTGTAGTGCATCGGCGGTTTAATGCTAGAAAAATCCCAACAACGCTCGGACTGAGTCTACTTATTCTGTATCCTTTTAAGGTCAATTCATAATTTTGTTAGGTTACTGGATTACCATGAATAACTGAGCGATACACCAATTGGTGAATAGTTTTTCTACCTCATTTTCTTGCGTCATGGATGTAAAAAATATCAGATTCTCATTGGTGCATAATTTGTTGAGGATCTTGTTAACCTCTTTTTTTTCTTAGCGTGCGAACAGCTCAGAATTAATTCATTTTCCCGTCTACCTAAAGTTATGTTTATTTCCATTTCTTGAGAGCCGCTCTTGGCTTCCTCGTAACTGTTATTGCTTCCTAAGTTGATCGATGCTCTTGTTATTTAATTTATCTTTGTAATAATAATCAATGATCATTGTTATTTAGTGGCCTTCTACTGAGCTATTATTTAACCATTTATTTTAATTTAAATTAGATTTTAGAACTAATTGTCCTCAGCACTTTAATTGAGTTCGTTAACTGAGTAGCGCCTGAGCGTAAGCGCCTGAGCTCATCAGTTTAATAATCATGCTTGAATGGAATCAAAACCTAGAATTTTTTTAGTATTTTGTATTTGTTTTCTGTGTGATATAAATTTGAGTAGAATTAGCACAAATTATCGATCGGTTACCTTGACAGGAACCACAATAAGAATTACTGCTCGGTAATACAGTCACAAACTCCATGCCTTCAAACGGTAACAGAAATTACGATGATCGTACGAAATTACGATGATCGTACGAAATTACGATGATCGTATGAAATTACGATGATCGTACGAAATTACGATGATCGTACGAAATTACGATGATCGTATGAAATTACGCTGATCGTATGAAATTACGATGATCGTACGAAATTACGATGATCGTACGAAATACGATGATCGTACGAAACGATGATCATACGAAATTACGATGATCGTACGAAATTACGATGAACGTATGAAATTACGATGTTCGTACGAAATTACGATGGTCGTACGAAATTACGATGATCGTACAAAATTACGATGATCGTACGAAATTACGATGATCGTACGAAATTACGATGACCGTTCGAAATTACGACGGTCGTACGGAATTACGATGATCGTACGAAATTACTATGATCGTACGAAATTACGATGGTCTTGAATTGTGATTTCTTGCGTGTGCAAAGTTTCGATTATTTTTCTATTCGCCTTCGATCAAGAGTTAAGATTTTTAAGATAATAATTCGAGACAAGTTGAGATCGAACAAGATTTTGCTTTATCCTTCAATTTCAAAGCTAAAGCTGATATATACGAGCGAGAGCTTATAACGTGCGATCGTAAATACAACGAACATGATAAATTTTAAGAACATCGTAAATTCTATGATCATCGGAAGGTCATACTTACTGCATGATATTGAATTTTTTATTTGAAAATAGTTATTAACGTTTTGATATACTTAGCATCATTTATTATTCTGATTTTTGATCCCACACAATCGCAGTTGTTATGGTGCCTAATTGTTGCATATTATTGTACATTGTTAATGGAATGTGATGCTGGGCGCTCCAGTAAACTCTACCCGTCATGCCGACTTTTGTTTCATTCC